TACACTCGTTCCCATTCATTTACTAACATTCAAACTCAAAAGAGATAACATTAATGTAATACACGATCGTGCGATGAGTATCTCCTAAAGAAATCTAAACTTTATTTGCATAAAAATCATCAAGGAATAACAGCTCAGATATGGAAACATATCTTTAAGGTTATACAATCAACTCTAATTAATATTAATGTACCGAGGCGGTGAACGGAGGTGATGCATTGTGTATATGTGAGATGTTAAAAGAAGGTGGTTAACTGTGTACAATAATTGTGAAGTATGTCCATATGCACAATAGCAAAAGAAAATGCAATATGGATGTGACGCAGGGCTGGTGTGTATTGGATGTGGGTGGATGTGGGGTCGGTTGACGTCCAGCAGGCGCTCTTGAAGAGCAGGAGTTAAATTCTGATGTTATCGGGCTGTATGGGTAGCCCCATGGGTCATAAAGAACATCCATGTTTAATGCAAACAAAATGGTAACAGAAAAGATTTCTTACCAACAGTGTTCCAAAGAATTAAATAACAAACACACTGTTTGAAAACAAATGTCACTATTGTCCTGAGAAGTGTTCGGGTAGGTTATTCTGCCAACACACAGTAAGGAGTGGAGCAGAGAGTTCTAAAAGTTCAGGTAATGACGTGGTCGTCGATCCCTGTCACAGAGTTGTTGCTGATCCGTTCCGAAGTTATTTGTGAAAACTGTACACAGGGGCTTGGTGCAGGCCGAAGTAGCTTTCGGATCCTCCGTTCCCCTTGCAGTTTGTTTGGTATACGTTCGGGTTTCCAGGTCCAACAAACGGCAATGGGGGTGGTCATGTGATGATCACTAGGGTAATCACAATGGCTTCGAGGACGGATGATAATGATGAAAATACAATGACGAGCACAGATCACACAGAATACCTTGAGAATGCCTTGTTGCGTGTTGTTGTGGCTGTTGTTCTGTGTTTACACTGTTGTTGCTGTTGTTGTGGGCCCCAGACGAAGACTTTGTCTTGTTATAACTTCTATTTTTGTGCTTGGTGCTTGGAGGTACCGAAGATCTTGTCTCCACCAATATATCCGCCGTAGCAGGACCAGTCCGTAGACGTTTCAGGCTGTCTACTACTATGTTGTTGTAGGTGTTGGTTGTTGTTGTGTGTTGGCGGATATTCCTCAAAGTGACAACACAAGTCCGTCTGCGGGTCCACAACGTTTTATTGTGAGCTGTGTTTAACTAGGAGCTTAGTGCTCAGCTCCCAGTTCCAAACTAACTAACCAACGCTCATTAATTCGACTATATCTCAGATCTGATAATCTGTCTTCCTAAAATGGTATTATGGCAAGACCATGTGGAACCTCGTCCACAACCCACATGCCTCTCGTGCAGTGGTCATCTGGATCATCCTACTCTTGACCTAATAAGACCATAGCAGAAAGCCACAGTCTCAGAATTTCAAGAGTATGTTTAAATCATGCACCCATTATCAGGCCAGCGGCCAAACAGCTGACCAGTACATGCCTGACCTGTGACCTCGTTACATCCCCCATGCGGTGTTAGCTAAGGGGAGAGGGGGAGACTATCGGTGTTACGACCCAGCCGGGAATTCGCCCGGCGCACACTGCGCGTGGCACACAGTATAGTGTATGTGGTATACAGTATATTGCACTTGATATACTGTATACTGCATGTGATACTACATTCGCAGAAAACCCCACACACATACATCATAAGCACAAACACACTACACTTGCACATACACTACACTCACATACACATCACGCACGTAAACCACACACACACACGAACACACAAACAGCACACATACATGTATAGACACCACGCACATACACAACACACATGTAAACCACACACACACAGCACACACATACATACAACACACACATACATACAACACACACATGCATACAGCACACACATACAACACACACACAAACAGCACACACATACACACAGCACGCACATACATACAGCACGCACATACATACATACAGCAAACACATACAGGACATACACACATACATACCGCACACACATACATACAACACACTCATGCATACATCATACACATACATACAGCACGCACATACATACAGCACACACATACAGGACATACACACATACATACAGCACACACACATACAAACAACACATACATACAGCACACACAAACAGGACATACACACATACAGACATACATACCGCACATACAGACATACATACCGCACACACAGGCATACATACCGCACATACAGGCATACATACCGCACACACATACATACAGCACACACACATACAACACACACACAAACAGCACACACACATACAGCACACACACATACAGACATACATACAACACATACATACATACAGCACACACACAAACAGCACACACACAAACAGCGAACACACACACACAAACAGCACACATACATGACATTGTGTATACACCAATCACATACACCACACTCACACAAACATCACATTCACGCGCACACACGCGCCCGCCCGCCCTCACGCACGCACGCACATACACCACACCACATCAAAACACGTGCTGTAAATAAAGAATAGATCTGCAAATATATTTTTTAATTCTGCAGAAAACAGTTTATCAGTTCCGAAATGTGGTCCATATTTCATCGCTGAATGACCTTTACGAACGTTAATTGCACTTTAAAACCTTCAGCAACAATTCATACACATGTCAAAAAACCCGGTCACGTGATCTCAGGTACACCATTGGTTGTTTGGATCAGCGAGAGGGATCTCAACCTTCTGCGGAAGAGCTGTAGACAGGTGTCGCGGAAGGACGTTTTTGCTGCAGTAAGTCCAATAACGTTTTTCTCATTCTAATTGTATAATTGTACACCAATAGTCAATACATATGATGAGGCAATGTTGCTGTACATAAGAATGTGACGAACCCGCGTCTGAGAGCAGCAGACGACAAAAAGAAAGAACAGACGGCACCATTTGTACAGAACAAACATGATCGCGTCGTACCAAGATTTTTATATTTCTGTGAGTATATTATCCATCACCAGAGATATATATTCGCTGAAATGAATTTATTCAATGAATATTCATGTCCTGAATCAAAAACATGTTTTCAAGCTTTGAAACACTGATACTGGCGTGCCGGAAAAAGCGCTATGTGAGGACCACAGACGCCAGCTGGTGGTCCTGACCTGTTCCAAGCGCATTGCTTTCATCATATTAGCTACCTTCATAAAGGCATTCATTCCAATATTACCACTTACACAGGTATACAATAGATAATCAGTTTTGATATGTCTGAGGAAATACGTTTTCGGATTTTATGTCAGCAAGTCCCTCTACAATGGTCGGCGGTCCACAGGGGTCAGTGACTGATGCCTGACAACTGATATTTTTATTGTGTGAGTCGGTTCTTGTCCATCGGGCAGGTTAGACTGGACACTTTTATAACTTTCCATAACAACGAGTCATGTATATGCTTTGTACACTGCCTTTTGTATATTTATTTTGAAAACATTTATGCAAAACAGAACAGTAAAACTAGAACAGTAACATTTTGAAAGTGATTATTTCAATGTCCAGTAATAATAAATGCGCAAATAATTTCCTCTTAATTCACACGACGTTATATTAATACGAGTTGTTCGTTGTTTTGTTACAATGGCGTTGAGAGTATGTCACAGTATATTCATCATGACAGTGTAATGGCTGCAAAACGTGTCCATAAATACTCGGGCGGTTCCATCACACATATTAGCGACATTTGTAGCAGTTGATTTAATTAATGGTATTGTGCGATGGCATATATAGTCCAATAATCAGTTCAGCCATACTCCCAGTTGGATATTTGAAAGTTGAATTCGACATCGGATGTTAGTGGATGTGTTCTTTAGTTGTGTTAAACAGTTGTGTTTAATGTTAGCCCACACTTGACAATATGACATGTTTATACAACCATCAAGCACTGTCAAACCTCGGGTTATAATGAAAGTTGTATTGGGTCAGATGTGTGAAGCTAGGGCTGGGACTGATGGGTGAGGTAGAGACTGAGATAGATGGGTGAGGTAGAGACTGGGACAGGCTGGTGAGGTAGAGACTGAGATAGATGGGTGAGGTAGAGACTGAGATAGATGGGTGAGGTAGAGACTGGGACAGGCTGGTGAGGTAGAGACTGAGCAAGATGGGTGAGGTAGAGACTGAGCTAGATGGGTGAGGTAGAGACTGGGACAGGCTGGGGTGCTGAGGCAGAGACTGGGACTGGCTGGTGAGGGTAGAGACTGAGGTGATGGATGTAGAGAGACTGGGACTGGCGGTGAGGTAGAGACTGAGATAGATGGATGTGGCAGAGACTGGGACAGGCTGGTGAGGTAGAGACTGAGATAGATGGATGTGGTAGAGACTGGGACTGGCTGGTGAGGTAGAGACTGAGATGTAGATGGATGTGGCAGAGACTAGAGACTGGCAGGCTAGATGGATGTGGCAGAGACTGGGACTGGCTGGTGAGGTAGAGACTGAGCTAGATGGGTGAGGTAGAGACTGGGACAAGGCGGTGAGGTAGAGACTGAGCTAGATGGGTGAGGTAGAGACTGGGACTGGCGGGTGGGGTAAGGTAGAGACTGAGATAGATGGGTGAGGTAGAGACTGGGACAGGCTGGTGTGAGGTAGAGACTGAGATAGATGGGTGAGGCAGAGACTGGGACTGGGACTAGCTGGTGAGGTAGAGTGAGGTAGAGACTGGGACATGGACTGGCTGAGGTCTGAGAGATGGCAGAGGTAGAGATGAGTGAGGAGAGACTAGGACAAGGCGGTGAGGTAGAGACTGAGCTAGATGGGTGAGGTAGAGACTGGGACTGGCGGGTAAGGTAGAGACTGAGATAGATGGGTGAGGTAGAGACTGGGACAGGCTGGTGAGGTATAGACTGAGATAGATGGGTGAGGCAGAGACTGGGACTGGCGGGTGAGGTAGAGACTGAGCTAGATGGGTGAGGTAGAGACTGAGCTAGATGGGTGAGGTAGAGACTGGGACAGGCTGGTGAGGTAGAGACTGAGACAGATGGATGTGGCAGAGACTGGGACTGGCTGGTGAGGTAGAGACTGAGATAGATGGATGTGGCAGAGACTGGGACAGGCTGGTGAGGTAGAGACTGAGATAGATGGATGTGGCAGAGACTGGGACTGGCTGGTGAGGTAGAGACTGAGATATATGGATGTGGCAGAGACTGGGACTGGCTGGTGAGGTAGAGACTGAGATATATGGATGTGGCAGAGACTGGGACTGGCTGGTGAGGTAGAGACTGAGATATATGGATGTGTCAGAGACTGGGACAGGTCGGTGAGGTAGAGACTGAGCTAGATGGATGTGGCAGAGACTGGGACAGGTCGGTGAGGCAGAGACTGAGCTAGATGGATGTGGCAGAGACTGGGACTGGCTGGTGAGGTAGAGACTGAGATATATGGATGTGGCAGAGACTGGGACTGGCGGGTGAGGTAGAGACTGAGATAGATGGGTGAGGCAGAGACTGGGACAGGTCGCTGAGGCAGAGACTGAGCTAGATGGATGTGGCATAGACTGGGACTGGCTGGTGGGGCAGAGACTAAGATAGATGGGTGAGGTAGAGACTGGGACATGTCGGTGAGGTAGAGATTGGGGCAGATTGGTGGGGCAGAGATTGGGACAGATTGGTGGTGCAGACATTGGGACAGATTGGTGAAGCAGAGACTGGTACAGATTGGTGGGAGCAGGGATTGGGACAGATTTGGGAAACGGGGATTGGGACAGATGGGTGAAACAGATTGGGACGGGTTATGAGGCAGAGACTGGGACAGATTTGGACTGATGAGTGAAGGTGAGATTGGGACATATGGGTGAAACGGTGATTGGGACAGATGGATCAAACAGATATGGACGGTTTTATAAAGCAGAGACGGGGACAGACAGGTGAAGCAGACATTGGGACTGATGAGTAATGCAGATGTTTGGATAGTCTCAAATATATATATATATAAATATATAAACAAATAATTCCTTCAAAATTAAGACGGAGTCGCAGTGAGAAGGGAGGTTTAGAACATTAAGCGATCTAGACTGGTTAATTCAGGGCTTTAGCACTGCAGTGTGGATTAGGCGGAATGTAAAATAATGCGGTTCAGGGACCTTGAGACAGACTAATATTGGGACAAATGGGTGGGATAGATCGTTTAGTCAGGGATTCGGACAGATGGGGCGGGGGCAGTGATTGGAACAGATTGGTAAAACAGAGATTGAGCCTGGTGAGGATGAGCAGAGACTGGAAGAGATTAGTAAAGGTGAGATTGGGGCCGGCGGGTGAATCAAACATGGCAACAGGGGGGGTGAAGCAGAGATTAGGATAGACGGGTGAAACAGAGAAGACAGACAGACAGTGATTGAGCAACAGGTGCATGCCGCAATTATCAAACAATACTGACAATACCATGTTACGAGCCCATTCTATAGTCGTAAGTGCAATGGTCAGGCGCTGATGGATATTGTTATCAACTGGAGCTTGTTTGACCGTGGCTGCGCCATATTTAAAATCTCTTGTTAGGCAATACTGAGATTATTTTCCTAAGGCCGACCTTATACACTTAATCTTGACAGCAAAGGGCAGATGGGCATAAGAAAATTACAACATAAAAATTGCGATTTTAAAGGAATGGAACTGTCAACTATGCCATACTTGGGCTTTCAATCTCAAACATATTCGTTTTAATACACCCAAGGAAAACATCACAGTTCTCTCCTCTCTTGTTTCAAGGTAAGAAACATTTAAATCGTATTCATCTTCCATGTTTTGAATTCTAATTTCATTGTAACTATTGTCAAGAAAATAGAAGATAGCTTTGAAACACTACTACGATATTGAAAACCAGTTCCGAGAGTTTGTACAACTATACTGAGTCAAAAAAGAAACTTCACAAAATGTAATTGGAAAAATAATGAATACTTTTTCTCTGATGATACATCTATGTATCCGAAATGGGATCCCTATCTTTCGACTCTAGAAAAACGTTAGCAAAACCCACTCAAACCCATCCATTCGTCGTGCAAATGACGTTAGTGCCAAATCAGGTTTTGCACGTGCAGTCGATCACGTGATCTTCGCATCGAAGTTTTCTTCATATGCACGTGTTTGCATTGGCCTCAAGAATTGAAAAAAACACTTTTAAACCACAGTTCTAACGGTACTTGAAATGCCACGATTGTCAAATGTGCAACGTGAACGTGCCGTTGGCATGTTGCAAGCGGGAAGATCAGTTATTGACGTCGCAAGAGCAATGGGATGCAGCCGTCGTACTGTGTATGACTTGCGAGGTCGTCTACAACAAACTGGCACCACTTCTGATCGCCCAAGGTCGGGTCGTCCACGTGTGACGTCACGAGCAGAAGACCGTCAAATCGTCCTACGTCACCTACGTGACAGATTTCTGCCGGCTACACGAACCAGGGCTGAGATGTTTAGAGGTCGACTGTCCTCACAGACCATTCGAAATCGGTTGCGGGCTGCCAATCTCCATTCTCGACGTCCATATCGTGGGCCAATATTGACGCCGTTTCATCAACGTCAACGTCTGCTGTGGGCCCAACGTCACCTCCGATGAACCCAGAGAGACTGGAATCGAGTCGTCTTTAGCAATGAATCCAGGTTTACCCTCAGATTCGCGGACGGCAGGCATAGAGTCTGGAGACGACGTCGTGAACGGTATGCCCAATGTTGTGTACAGGAAGTTGACAGATTCGGGGGCGGAAGTTGCATGGTGTGGGGTGCTTTCTGTGGGAACAACCGTTCCCGACTTCTGGTCATCCTTGGAAACCTCACAGCTGCTGCTTACCGCGACCAGGTGCTCACCCCTGAACTCGTTCCTTTCATGGCAGCTCATGGCCCAGGTTTACAGTTCCAGCATGATAATGCTCGGCTGCATACCGCGATGTTGACACGAAATTTCCTTCAAAACGCTGGAATCAACGTCATGGACTGGCCATCGAGGTCCCCTGACCTTAATACAATAGAGCACGTTTGGGATGCACTTGGGAAAAGGCTTGGTGGTCTTAGGAACCAACGTCAGAATTTGCAGGAACTTGGCGCTGCCTTGCAAGAGCAATGGCGCAGAATCCCCAACCACGTGTTCACAAGCATCAAGCAGTCGATGAGGAGACGGTGTTTGGCAGTGGTGAATGCGCGGGGCGGCCATACACGATATTGAACTGAGAAATTTCGCATTTTTATTCTTGTGACTTGACATTCTGTATACCCATGTTTTGGAACGGCGGTGTAGCCTAATGGAACTGATTATGGCACTGTCAGTGTATCGAGTACATCACACAGATCTCAGCAATGAAATAATAACAATTTAACCATCTTACCATCTCTTGTTCTTTTATAGTGCCCTGAAGAAAGAATGTGAAGTTTCTTTTTACTCAGTATACTTCAAGTACTTCAATTTATACGTAGCTAATCCATTTGTTCGATAGTCCACCGATCAAATACTATATGAACAGATTTACTACCTATTCGCCCTCAGAGAATAGTTTATAACAGACGCATGTTTAAAGATTGTAAAACATTCCGTTCCTCGTATTGTTTACGGTACAGAACAGCTTCACCGCAGTAATGTAATATATGGTATTGTCCTATGTAGTATGGATCAGCTTATAAGTTCATTACCGTTGTCATTTAGATAAGTGATGGCCTTCTTTCACATTTCACTAAAACATGGTTTTAAATCCGCATTGTTTATGTATACATTTACAATATTTATTCAATACGTAGCCTAGTGGCTAAAGCGTTCGCTCGTCACGCCGAAGACCCGGGTTCGATTCCCCACATGGGTACAATGTGTGAAGCAATTTTCCGGTGTCCCCTGCCGTGACATTGCTGGAATATTGCTAAAACAGCGTAAAATTAAACTCACTCACTCATAAATTTATCCGGAAGAGAGCATGAGCTGGGTTGGCACAAGTAATGCAGACAATATGGATAAAGAGTTTGGCATAATGATTGAGGTCGGGCATGGGCTTTACAGCTAAGTCACAAATCAAAACAAAAAAAAGATTTTACATACTAAATTCCTCATGTCAAACGTGGATAAGGTGACGCCGAGCGAAAGAAATCATATCACTAAAAATACTCAGGTCTTTTTAAGTGACACAGGTAAATGGGTGCGTATGAATAGCAAAAGTTACCGGTCTGGTTATTGTCCCTATTGACATCCCTATACCTATTGACATGCTACTTTGTATGACGGTCTGGGCTATGAGGCCATACCCGTGTAAGACCACAGGTGTGGGTGAGATAAAGTGGGCCACGCGGCTAAGAACGTCTGATGTAACAGGTCGTCGTCCTTTACTAGGTTAAATGACCAAGAGAGACGGAGATGAGAAGTACGTGTGCTAACACACTACTGTAATATGTGTGTCTGACTGTGTCGTGGCCTGTTGCAGTAACGATGAAGCAGGACCTGTATCCCGTGGACGAGACGCGTACCGCCTCGGAGAGCACCCCCTTAGTGAAAGGCAAGGGTAAAGTCCAAGGGACGGTGTTAAATTTTATTTAATTTTGTATTCTCTCTCTCTCTCTCTCTGTCTGTCTGTCTGTCTGTCTGTCTGTCTGTCTCTCTCTCTCTCTCTCTCTCTCTCTCTCTCTCTCTCTCTCTCTCTCTCTCTCTCTCTCTCTCTCTCTCTCTCTCTCTCTCTCTCTCTGTGTGTTAGGCTTGAAAGGGAGGTAGGGGCGATGTGTCGGTGGGTGATCCTGGTTGGAGGATAAGTGACGAGGGCGGTGCTCACCCCTGTACCAGACAGTTAGGATCAGGGACTTTTATTTTGCTGACGAAGCGGGGGCAGGAACTATAACATTAAAGTCGCGAAGTAGACCAGCCGTTACGTGTGCTCCCGAGGTGTGCTGGCACAGATTTTTACATCTTCATGTCGAAAGCTGGCACATTAATGTTTAAGATTAAATTGACGATGGCATCTCACATGTGAACATAACTTACATTGTCGTTGGATTATGAAAACTCTTTGCTATATGTTGACAAGGGCAATATATCTTCTTCAAAGCAAGTATGAATTCTTTCTGCAAATGACGTTGTCTGAAAGTGTTTGTTCTGAAATCTGTTAAATATTTGATATGCATTAATGATATAGTACGGCCCTGCACATAGGTGATAGACACAACCTCTGAATGGGCCCGCTCTGAACACTGCATGTACCTGGGTATGGCTGAAGGGTGTGTTAAGCGGCCCGTTCTGAACACTTGACAAGGGGCCCGCTCTGAACACTAAGGGGCCCGCTCTGAACACTTGACAAGGGGCCCGCTCGGAATACTTGACAAGGGGCCCGCTCGGAATACTTGACAAGGGGCCTGCTTGACAAGGGTCCCGCTCTATGTACGTGTACCTGGATATTCCAGAAGATTAAGTAAAGGGACTCGCTCTGAACATTACATGTACCTGGGTATTCCAGAAACTAAGTCAAGGGGCCCGTCCTGAACATTACATGTGCCTATGTATTCCAGAAGAATAAGTCAAGGGGCCCGCTCTAAACTTTAAATGTACCTGGGTATTCCAGAAGACTAAATCAAGTGGTCCTCTCTGAACATTACATGTACCTGGGTATGACAGAATACGAAGTAAAAGGGGTCCGTTGTGAACATTATATGTACCTGGGTATTCCAGAAGACTAAGTCAGGGGTCCGTTGTGAACATTATATGTACCTGGGTATTCCAGTAGAATAAGTCAAGGGGCCCACTCTAAACATTAGATATACCTGGATATTCCAGTAGACTAAGTCAAGGGGCCCGCTCTAAACATTAGCTATACCTGGGTATTCCAGTAGACTAAGTCAAGGGGCCCGCTCTAAACATTATATGTACCTGGGTATTCCAGTAGAATAAGTCAAGGGGCCCGTCCTGAACATTACATGTACCTGTGTATGGCAGAAGACGAAGTCAGGGGTCCGTCCTGAACATTATATGTACCTGGGTATGACAGAAGAATAAGTCAAGGTGCCCGTCCTGAACATTATATGTACCTGAGTATTCCAGTAGATTAAGTCAAGGGGCCCACTCTAAACATTAGATATACCTGGATATTCAAGTAAAGGGGCTCCAATAGACTAAGTCAAGGGGCCCGCTCTAAACATTAGATATACCTGGGTATTCCAGTAGACTAAGTCAAGGGGCCCGCTCTAAACATTATATGTACCTGGGTATTCCAGTAGAATAAGTCAAGGGGCCCGCTCTAAACATTACATGTACCTGGGTTTGACAGAAGAATAAGTCAAGGGGCCCGCTTTGAACACTTTATGTACCAGAGTATGCTAGAAGGATATGAGCACAAATTATGCCTGTGTATACGAGGATGTAAAGACCCAACCGTTCACTGCATCTGCGCATGCTGGAGGTATAAGTGAATTGTACAGGGGTTTGTGCTTCCGCCCCATTTAATGTTACGGCTGTTATGGCAGTAGTGTTACGGCCGCTGCAACCTCTGTTATGGAACGGGACCTTGCTCTGAATTCTGCATGTACCCAGGAGTGGTTGATACAATAATCAAGAGCCATGCAGGCGCGTAGCAAGCCAGTAAGCAGCCAGATAGGTTGCAAAGCTTTATTTTTAGAAAGTATTGAGGGCTTGCCCAACCTTTTTAGCAACAGTCATGTGTAAGCCAGGGCTTGTTTTGGTAGCTACGCCCCTGCCATGTTCTGATAGTTACGACAGAGATCTGTCGTGTCTTGTGTATGGTTAACAATTAGGGGTGACTATACAGTGGGAAACAACTATTGCGATGGCGATTGTCTATTGCGACCAACTATTGCAATACTATTGCAATAGTTTGTTTCTCTTTGAATTGTCTCATTTGAAGTCATTTTCCAAATGAATGTATAGTTTGTATGAAATGAAAACAAGTAGTTTCGGTCTCTTTTAATAGCTGACAAGAAACTTGAAACCCAGATCAAGTTTGTTTAAGAGGTTACAGGGGCGGAAAACTCAAAATCAAAGTGAACGAATCTGGTATAGTACTTCCTGTATTTTGCGCTGCGCATTTATGAACGGAAGTCAATTGCTAAACTTTCGATAGTCACACATACTATCGATGCATCGATAGTTTTTCGTTTCTACCATCGATTAATTGTTATCGGAGACTCAACAATTGCAATCCATCGATAGTTCGATGCGTCGGTACAGCCCTATTAACAATGCATTATATTTTCAGATGCCGGAAGCAAACTTCCAGCCAAACGTCGTGGCTATGTCCCCGTTGAAGTCGTGTCGTTCTTATATTTCTTCACGACGTTCTTCTCTAACCCCCACACACAATTCTACGTCTTTGACAAGGTGTCCGCCAAATACGGTCACGTTAACACCACAGATCCTCTTCCATGTGAAGACAACTTCTACAACTCCTCCGCCTCCGAAGTGGAGCTAAAGGTGCAAACAGAAACCTCAACGGTAATGATGTACCTGCTCTTCGCCAGCACCTTCAGCGGCGTCCTACCAACCATCTTTCTCGGGTCCCTGACTGACCGTCACGGGAGGAAGATCGCCTGCATACTGGCCATATTGGGATCAACATGTAAACAACTGATTTACGTCGTCATCTTCAATCTGGATGCCAACGTCAACTATCTATACATTGGCAACGTCGTGGAGGGTTTGTGTGGGTACTATGGAGCTATGTTGGTAGCATTATTCGGGACAATTGCTGATATCACCGAGCCTGGCAAGCAGCGAGCATTTCGGATCACCACAACGGAAGGTTGCCTCTTTCTGGCATCAGCCGTAGCCATTGGTGCCAGTGGGGTGTGGATAGAAAACAGCGGCTACCTCCAACCACTTTACACCATGATTGGCATTAGCGCCCTCAACATGGCGGTCGTGCTCTTCATCCTCCCAGAAACAAGGAAGAAAACAGATAGACCATTTTCATTAGTGGAACCCCTGAGAGGATTAAAAAGAAGTCTTATGTTTTTGTCATCGATACTCCGAGTAAACGGCGATGGAAGTTGCAACTGTCTATTGCTGTGTTTTTCATCACGTTTTCTATAAGTATAGCCCAAAATACTATCATGACGTTGTTCCTTCTCAAGTCTCCATTTTGTTGGACAATGGTACACATCACTATATACGCCGCTGTCGCGATGGTAGTTGATTGGGTGTGTATCCTCTTCCTAACGCGCTGTCTTGGGAACTACCTCTCTGACGTCCACATGGCCCTGATTGGTACCACATCCACATTCCTTAGTCTGCTGATAGTGGGCCTGGCCGTAAATGACGCAATGATATATGCTGGTGAGTATATATACAATCCACACTGATAAGGTAAACCATACAACATTATAAGTTGTCCACTGGTAACGAGGGGGGCATGGATTGATGTACCCTCGATGTTTGTTTGTTTGGCCCCGAGGGACCAGTGAACAACGTATTTATCTTACCGAGCACCTGTTAATTTTGAATTGTTTGAAGCACGGGTACAAATCTTTTGTAGCCATCGCTAAATTTTGCTGAAAAGAAAAACAAATTTAGAGTTATCTCCCTTCCATCGATTTGCATTCGCAAAACATCGGTAATTTCCGTACATCATACGTGAGTCAATGTAATTCGAGATAAAGAATTACTACCACGAAGTACCAAATGAGTTGCCATTGACAGCGGGGTACATTGAAATGTTATTCGCTTGTAAGCGGGGTACATTGAAAATAATAGAAGAGCGCTCAGCCAATCAGAAAGCGACATTTATGTGTGAGGTAAGATACAATTGTATGTAAGGTCGGGCACAGTAATAGCAAGGACGTTGGATGGCGTGACAGTAATAACGAGAATGGCGTGACAGTAATAAAGAGTAGGGCTTCACGGTATTACCGGTATTATAAGGTATATCGCAATACGCTTTTCAAACGATACGTATTGCAATATTTTTTCAGAGAAACGGCATATTGGGTAAAGGACATTTATGAAGTTTTTGTGATTAAAATCTACACACTTTCATTCACAACAAATGTTTTCCTTCGTTATTCAATTACAAAATGGCATACTGTAATACTGTCAATTGTATAAAAACGAAAATAGAGTAAATGACTATGCAACCTACTTTTGAGATTGCTGTCATCAGTACCATGTATGTATGCTTAGGGACTTATAATGTAGAAAATATGATCGACATGTACAAATAGTTTCACTTACTGTCAAAGACTTAAGTTTCCAATATATTGCAATACGGGAACCTGAATCGCTATATAGTGCAATACAATATATTTGCCAATACACAGCCCTAATAACGAGAATGGCGTGATAGTAGTAAAAAGGACGTCCAATGACGTGACAGTAGTAACGAGGACGTCAAATGGCGTGACAGTAGTAACAAGGACGTCAAAGTAGTAACAAGGAACGTCGAATGGCGTGACAGTAGTAACAAGGACGTCAAAATGGCGTGACAGTGGTAACAAGGACGTCCGATGGCGTGATAGTAGTAACAAGGACATCCGATGGCGTGACAGTAGTAACAAGGACATCACATGACGTGATAGTAACAACAAGGGTGTCAAATGGCGTGATAGTAGTAACACGGACGTCGAATGGCGTGACAGTAGTAACACGGACGTCCAATGGCGTGACAGTAGTAACGAGGATGTCAAATGGTGTGATAGAAGTAACACGGACGTCGAATGGCGTGATGGTAGTAACACGGACGTCCAATGACGTGACAGTAGTAACAAGGACATCCAGTGACGTGACAGTAGTAACACGGACGTCCAGTGACGTGACAGTAGTAACAAGGACGTCCAGTGACGTGATAGTAGTAACACGGACGTCCAGTGACGTGACAGTAGTAACACGGACTTTCAATGACGTGACAGTAGTAACACGGACGTCCAGTGACGTGACAGTAGTAACAAGGACGTCCAATGGCGTGACAGTAGTAACAAGGACGTCAAATGGCGTGACAGTAGTAACAAGGACGTCCAATGGCGTGACAGTAGTAACAAGGACGTCCAATGGCGTGACAGTAGTAACACGGACGTCCAATGACGTGACTGTAGTAACACGGACGTCCAATGGCGTGACAGTAGTAACGAGGACGTCCAGTGACGTGATAGTAGTAACAAGGACGTCCAATGGCGTGATGTTAGTAACACGGACGTCCAATGGCGTGACAGTAGTAACGAGGACGTCAAATGATGTGATAGTAGTAACGAGGACGTCCAATGGCGTGATGGTAGTAACACGGACGTCCAATGGCGAGATGGTAGTAACGAGGACGTCAAATTGCTTGATAGCAGTAACCCGGACGTCCAATGGCGTGACTGTAGTAACACGGACGTCCAATGACGTGAAAGTAGTAACGAGGACGTCCAATGACGTGATAGTAATAACGAGGACGTCAAATGACGTGATAGTAGTAACAAGGACTTCAAATGACGTGATAGTAGTAACAAGGACGTCTGATAGCGTGATGGTAGTAACGAGGACGTCAAATGACGTGATAGTAGTAACAAGGACGTCCAATAGCGTGACAGTAGTAACACGGACGTCCAATGACGTGAAAGTAGTAACGAGGACGTCCAATGACGTGACAGTAATAACGAGGACGTCAAATGACGTGATAGTAGTAACAAGGACTTCAAATGACGTGATAGTAGTAACAAGGACGTCTGATAGCGTGATGGTAGTAACGAGGACGTCAAATGACGTGATAGTAGTAACAAGGACGGACGCCAATAGCGTGACAGTAGTAACAAGGACGTCAAATGACGTGATAGTAGTAACACGGACGTCCAATAGCGTGACAGTAGTAACATAAGGACGTCAAATGACGTGATAGTAGTAACAAGGACGTCCAATGACGTGACAGTAGTAACAAGGACGTCAAATGACGTGATAGTAGTAACACGGACGTCAATAGCGTGATAGTAGTAACAAGGACGTCAAATGACGTGATAGTAGTAACAAGGACGTCAATAGCGTGATAGTAGTAACAAGGACGTCAAATGACGTGATAGTAGTAACACGGACGTCCAATGGCGTGACAGTAGTAACAAGGACGTCAAATGACGTGATAGTAGTAACACGGACGTCAAATGGCGTGACAGTAGTAATGAGGACGTCCAATGACGTGACAGTAGTAACAAGGACGTCAAATGACGTGAGAGTAGTAACAAGGACGTCAAATGACGTGATAGTAGTAACACGGACGTCCAATGGCGTGATAGTAGTAACAAGGACGTCAAATGACGTGATAGTAGTAACAAGGACGTCCAATAGCGTGATAGTAGTAACAAGGACGTCAAATGACGTGATAGTAGTAACAAGGACGTCAAATGACGTGATAGTAGTAACACGGACGTCCAATAGCGTGACAGCAGTAACAAGGACGTCCAATAGCGTGATAGTAGTATCAAGGACGTCAATGACGTGACAGTAGTAACAAGGACGTCCAATAGCGTGATAGTAGTAACAAGGACGTCAAATGACGTGATAGTAGTAACAAGGACGTCCAATGACGTGACAGTAGTAACAAGGACGTCCAATAGCGTGATAGTAGTAACAAGCACGTTCAATGGCATGACAGTAATAACAAGGACGTCAAATGACGTGACAGTAGTAACAAGAACGTCAAATGACGTGATTGTAGTAACAAGGACGTCCAATAGCGTGATAGTAGTAACGAGGACGTCAAATGGCGTGATAGCAGTAGCAAGGGCGTCAAATGGCGTGACAGTAGTAGCACGGACATCCAATGGCGTGACAGTAACAACAAGAAAATCACATGATAGTAACAACAAGGGCGTCCAATGACGTGCTAGTAGTAACGAGGACATCCAATAGCGTGACAGTAACAGCGATGACGTCGAATGACGTGACAGTAATAACGAGGACGTCGAATAATGAGGCGATGTTAGCCTTTCTAACTGGCAGCTGTTTGAATATTTTGCGCAAAATGATGTAATGGACCATACATATCATATACAATGAATCATTTTTCAGCTGCTGCTGTTGGCCTGTTTATTGAGTTGGTGACGCCTATGATGAGATCTGTGATGTCAAGACTGGTGACCAACGATGAGCAAGGTATGTGGAAACGATGACCCACTGACATGAATGTACAAAGCTGTAACATTATACACAGAAACAACCTCAAAGTTCAATCAGTCGAATCCGAGGTGGAATTCATCTTCACAGTCGATTATAAATGACCAGATGGGTTAAATGTGAAGCTTGTGTAATGTGTGATTTGTACCACAATAGCTTGTTAGGTACAAGGTAGTCACGTGCTCAACATCCGATACCTGAATCGGCATTTCATTTCCGTGCTCAGAAATATATCTTCCGCATTAGGGAGCACGTATGTAATAAAGTACATAAACATCACACAACATATTAGTTACTGGCACAGGGGCGGTAGGGTAGCCTAGTGGTTAAAGCGTTCGCTCGTCACGCTGAACACCCGGGTTCGATTCCCCACATGGGTACAACATGTGAAGCCGATTTCTGGTGTGCCCCGCCGTGATATTGCTTGAATATTGCTAAACTAAACTCACTCACTACTGGCACATTGTTTGGAAAAGACAATTTCACATGTGTAATCTGCGGACGTAAAACTGGTCAGTTGTAGCACTACCGAACACAGCAAATCGTTACTTGATGTTCTGACATTTATCCGTTATAGCCTGAATATGGTCGGTAAGGCGATCTAGATGTATAAGTCCAATGTCCACACCATTGCCTTTTCGCTTGACCGTTGTACACTACTAAATATAAGCTTACTTCTGTATTGCTGTTCTGCTATCACTTGTATGTAGAGCCTCGAGGAGAGTCAGCCAGGTTTCTGGACTTAACCAGCAGGAAGTCTTGGGTTTGTTTGCTTGTTGTCCTACGCCGCACTCAGCAATATTCCAGCTATAAGGCACTGGCCTGTAAAAAATTGAGTTGGACCCGACAATCCAGTGATTGACATCATGAGCATCGATCTACGCAGTTGGGATACGATGACATGAATCAATCACGTCAGCGAGCCTGGCCACCAGATCCCGTTTGTTGCCTCTTACGACAAGCATGAGTTGCTGAAGATTTTAACCCGATTCTTCATTAGTGCGGAAAATGTGAAAATGGACGTGCACGATTTAAAATGAAAAGAATCTTCATGGAGTCTAGTGCATGAGCACAGACACACGCGCATATACACACGCACACACACACTCGCGCGCGCACACACACACAAATGGTAGTACGTTGTAACCCGGTGCAGGAAACTTGGGATCACCGTCGACTTATGTGTAGTGAATCATTTGTGTATTTTATAACCTATTTTGGTACTGGTACTTGTATGGTGGCTTTAACTGGTACTGCTTATGTTGCAGGCGCTCTGTTCGGCAGCATCAGTGTTGTGGAGATGTTCTCCGGAGCGGTGCTAGGCTTGGCGGCCACAGCTGGCTACACGAGCTCCGTCAGCTTCTTTCCTGGTCTGGTGTTCATCGTCCTGTCCTTCCTCATGGCCTGTTTGAGTGGTGCTCTGATGTAAGTACAGACTGAGTGAGTGAGTGAGTGAGTGAGTGCCTTTCACGCCACTTATTCCAGCAATATCACGGCAGGTGACACCAGAAATGGGTTTCACACATTGTACCCATGTGGGGATTCAAAGCAGAATTTCGGCGTGACGAGCGAACAATTTAATCAGTATGGTTACCCCACCGCCCCTGTAAGTTCAGAAGTCATAACCAGTGTGCGAAATAGTTTCCAAATTTTGCTAGCCAGTCGGGGTAGCTATGCCTGAAAGTTACAAGCCCACAAAATAATTCACTAGACCCAAATTTGAATGGAGAAACTAAGCAAAAGATTACAAAAATAGATGAGATTAAGATATAGTCGGCATTTTCATGGGTTTAGTTTTAAGCCGCACTCCGCAATATTCCAGCTATATGGCGGCGGTCTGTAAATAATCGAGCCTGGACCAGACAATCCAGTGATCAACAGCATGGGCATCGATCTGCGCAATTGGGAACCGATGACATGTGTCAACCAAGTCAGGGAGCCTGACCACCCGATCCCGTTAGTCGCCTCTTACGACAAGCATGGGTTACTGAAGGTTCAATCTAACCCGGACCTTCACGGGTAACTATGATTATAACCTGTGCATGGCATTTAGAAGGGATACACATAAAAGTAGGAATTTGTATCAATGTCCAATTCTGTACTATTACGAACACGACGTGTCTGAGTATGCTGTTACTCCTTCGTCGGGCTAATGGGGGCGTCGGCGTAGCCTAATGGTTAAAGCGTTGGCTCGTCACGCCGAAGACCCGGGTTCGAATCCCCACATGGGTACAATGTGTGAAGCCCATTTCTGGTGTACCCCGCCGTGATGTTGCTGGAATATTGCTAAAAGAGGCGTAAAACCAAAATCAGTCGTCGGGCTAATGAAAGCTGTGAAGCAGGAAGCTTTATAATACATGTGAAAGCAAAAATAAACAATAGTGATGATATAACAAAGGTGGGCACTTAACAAGGGAAGTCAGTTATTAATAAACTTCCCTCAACAGATAATAGGCTTCCTGCCCTCGTGACAGCTCTTGTTTATGATGAGTGAGTGAGTGAGTTTAGTTTTACGCCGCACTCAGCAATTCCAGCTATATGGCAGCGGTCTGTAAATAATCGAGTCTGGACCAGACAATCCAGGGATCAACATCAGGAACACTGATATTCTATGGTTTCAGTCGGCTTCGGGCCTAAGGACTGACGTTAATTTCGAACGCTGTCCCAAGAATGTTACTACTAGGCTACACCACCGCCCCAACTACGATTATAGTGAGTGAGTGGGTGAGTTTAGTTTTACGCCGCACTCAGCAATATTTCAGCTTTATGGTGGCGATCTGTAAATACTCGAGTCTGGGCCAGACAATTCAGGGATCAACAGCATGAACATCGATCTTCGCAATTGGGATACGGTGACATGTGTCAACCAAGTCAGCGAGCCTGACCACCCGATCCAGTTTGTCACGGGGTTTTGTTTATAATATATATATATATATGTATGTATGTATGTATGTATGTATGTATGTATGTAGACACACACACACACACACACACACACACACACACACATATACTTTCGAATGCTTCCCTATGGCAAAATAGTGTTTGCATCATCACAAGAATAATGCAAACAAACTGTTTTATTTCTTATACTTTTAGAGTTTTGAGCTGCAGCCTTCACAAGACGAAGGGCAAAACCACAGTGCTCGACCTTGGCAACTGAACACGACCTTCATAAGGAGTCACCTTGAAGCGAAGACTTTGCAATATATTTGAGTGTTGATGGTTCAAATGTCCATCTTATATGATATATGATCAAAAGCATACTTATACATGATAACGGATATATAGGAATGCATCCAAAACGTATTACTGGGGTCTGGGGTGGTCACTCAAAGATAAGGGTCTTTCCTAGTAATTGAAATCTTTCCTAATTTTGCGCTTCCTGCATGAGATAGGTATACTGATGGAAACAAATAAGGGAACATATGAAAGTACAAGGGTTGTTTTTCCAGGTTTCTTTTGATGCTTTGCATTGCGGGTGAAAATCAGGACATAATAACAGCATAATAATAATATAATAATAGCATAATGGCTATTTATAAAGCGATGTTATCCATGCACTTGTGCATGCTCAAGGCGCTAAGACAGCATTACACCGGATAAACCACGCTGCCTGTGAACACTGTTAACACCGGGTGAACAGAGACAAAGTTTTAACAAACTCACTTGCCTAGGGTGAAACCATATATGTCACGTGTGCTTCGTTGTGAGACAGAACAGAAGTCCCAGAAACTCTCAGGACTCAAGCTGCCAAACTCGGTCACCCATCTAAGGACTCTCCGTCACCAACGTTGCTTATTCAACTTTTTCATGATCTGAGCTCCCTGCACAGAGGCACACACCACCAACGCATAAATATTAGAGCAGGTTTACTTTGATGTATTCCCTTTCTATTTTCCAACTGTCTCCTGTGAAAAAGATCAGCAAGAACACACTTTGACTTTGCAATCTCTTGATTTGTAGTGGTCAGAGACCGAGACTGCTGACAAGCCTTCAACCTTGGGTGGTGTTTACCTTTATATGTTAACATTGTACCAGGTTCGTTGTCCTTGTAGTATATATGTCCAGTTAATGCTTGTGAATGACATAATTTTAATATATGGCATATATCTTATAAATTTTTCACATATTGCCCAATCATAGCGAATTCATATAATTAAATGTGTTTATATTCTAAACGTGTTTAAATTCTAACCATGTTAAACTTTATGTTTCTGCTGTGAGTCGACAGCTCAAATCTGTGGTAAAGCCCTGAACATGTTTAAGTGGTACACATCAAATGCGTACATTGTTTGAGATTTGGCTTTGACGGGTTAATATTCTTAACTCCTTTTCACAGTGTGTTGAAACCCGAAAGGAACTTATGAATGTTTCAGTCTGCTGTTCAATGCGCATACTCAGTCCATTGTAAGATGTTGTTGTTTGACAGAATGACATCGTCGATAAAGTCTAGTCATTTAGCGTCAATGCGGTGATGAAGAAGGATTTTCGGTGCTGAGAATTAAGCGTTCCACGTCCCTATCGGTTTTATGAACCTACTCAGAGAGAAGAGAACTACAACGTACTAGCATGTGTGTGTGTGTGTGTGTGTGTGTGTGTGCGCGCGCGCGCGCGTGCGTGTGCGTGTGTGTAGATGGGCGAGTGTCTGTGCTCATGCACTAGACTCCATGAAGAGTCTTTTCATTTTAAATCGTGCACGTCCATTTTCACATTTTCCGAACCAATGAAGACTCGGGTTAAAATTGGTCTTCAGCAACCCATGCATGTAGTAAGGGGCGAGTAACGGGATCGGGTGGTCAGGCCTGCTGACTTGGTTGACACATGACATCGTATCCCATTTGCGTTGATCACTGGATTGTCTGGTCCAGACTCAATTATGTACAGACAACCGCCATTTAGCTGGAATATTGCCGAATGCGGCGTCAAAGAACAACCAAACACATTTTTAAAAATAGCACATATACTTCACAAGTGACATTGTATTAAAGACCCAAGGTCAACGTGTGCCCAGATATGTTTGTTGCTAATTGTAGTGGCAAGAAAACAATTCTTTCGAGTTCTCCCTGTTTTTCAATCAAGTTCCTTTGCTCTTCAAGAAAAATAGCATTATGTACGGTGGTGGTTGGGTTTAACGTCGTGCTTGAGAATATTTCGCTCATATGACGACGTGCATGCGTGTGTATGTGTATGTGCGGCTGCTTGTACTAGCCCAGACTGAAGCTGGTTTTATAGTGCTAGCCCACTGAGATACCATGCCGCAGTGAAGCATGAATACCCCACTCAGACACATTATACTGACTCCGAGCCGACCAGTCCTTGTTGTACCCATTAATGCCGAGCGCCAGGCAGGGACCAACAAGTACCATATTTTAACGTCTTTTGGTATGACGCGGTCGGGGATCGAACCCGCGACCTTCCGCACTCCGGGCGGACGCTCTAACCACTACACCACGGAGGCGGTCATTATGTACGCTGATGTATTATGATGAGCATTGTTGACAGCTACAAACAGATCAATCAATCTACGGGACCACCTGCTCTTCTAGCGTCGTAATATGTGCCTGCATACATCAATCACTACAACAACAGCATCGTATAAACGTGTGCAATACATACTTATACTCACATACGGGCGTTACTTACTTGTGTGTTAGGGGCGGTCGGGTAGCCTAGTGGTTAAAGCGTTCGCTCGTCACGCCGAAGCCCCGGTTCGATTCCCCACATGGGTACAATGTGTGCAGCCCATTTCTGGTGTCCCCCGCCGTGATATTGCTGGAAATTTGTTAAAAGCGGCGTAAAACCATACTCACTCACTACTTGTGTGTTATGTATCTTTGGTTTTTTCAGTGTCACTTCCAAAATTCACCTGCCGGGCTTGAACGATTCCATTTAAGTTAGAAATGTGCTTAGCATGGGTTCAGGGTTTTGTATTACTGCTTGAGGGCATTCTAGTGCCCCACTATATGGATGAATGAATTCATGTCGTCGCTAACATATGCATGCATATATTGTGCCAGTGTGATGTCACGTTGTGTTTACATAAATAATGAATATAGGAATAAACTCCACATCCAGTTTTTGTTATTATTTAAGTAATGGTTTCGGAGTAAATACTACAAGTAACTGAGGCTGAAACATGTGGTCGATAACGTAAGCATCCTGAGGAAATTTGAGTGAGTGTTGCGGTACGCCGCTTTTAGCAATATATTCAAGTAATATCACTGCGGAGGATAAGAATTTGTGGGTGCCCCTATACAAGCGTTTTCCTTTTCTCCAATTCTCACTAGAGAGATGGGCGGTGGGGTAATCTAATGGTTAAAGCGTCCTCTTGTCACTCTGAACACTCGGGTTCGATTCCCCACATGGGTACAATGTGTGAAGCCCATTTCTGGTGTCCCCTCGCCGTGATATTGCTGGAATATTGCTAGAAGCGGCGTAAAGCCATATTCACTCACTCACTCTAGAGAGATACACGTGTGGTTATGTATTCAATCGTATACACAGCCTTATTTCTGGTAATACGTCAGTCTAACATCAAACCAGCTTTGCTCCTGCGCACAAGCAACTTTCAACAACAAGGAAGGAGAAGTATATTGTATGTCCTGTGCTTACGCAGGACAACACGCAAGTGTTTGTTTTGTTAATAAATCATTACAAGAACAGACCTTTCATAAAAATAGTTCACAACTCATGCGCCGAAACAAAAGGGGCTTCCCCTTGTTTATCACGTGACAGCTGTTGCGTAATGCCCGCTTTCTTCCCCGTGCACTGATGCAGGATCATACAGGTAAAGGGGGGTAACTGTTGTGTTCTTGTGCAGCTGTCTGGGCAATCCAACCGGGTTGAAAGAGGAAGTAGAGTTGTGGAGGTTTGAGAGTGATATCGTCTCGTGGCGGTGAGTAGAGATAATTATGTCCGATGATCTATAATGAGGACTGGTCAATGATAGTTACCACATCGCAGTGATGACCGAGTCTCCATGGTCCATAAATCTAAACGCGCGCAGTGTTTAAGATTTCATTTGTTCTAAAATAATTAACTTCCTTGTCTGTGCTATGTCAATATTGTGTATAGTCACTACCGCTCACTGCAATGAAGAAGGCCTGCAGGTTTTATTTTTTGCCCACGTTTGCAGCGACTACATGCCTCAACTTTAAACTTGTTATGCTTGAATGTGTCATCTAATGACGAAAGTTTGCGGAAAAAAGTAGGAAAAATACTTTCTGACTCATCGCGTTGTATAACAACACCCAGTGAATTCTTCTCACGAAATATTTTGTCGTTTTATTTAATCAAGCGAAACCTACCCCATGCTAGCAGCCCCTACTGGTAATACGATCATAAATCCAATGTTTAAACTTGAATTGCTTAGAATATTTCTGACCAGACAGTTTAGGTTAATGATGGACAGGCGGTGGATTGTCTGGTCCAGACTCGATTATTTACAGACCGCCACCATATAGCTGAAATATTGCTGAGTGCGGCGTAAAACTAAACTCACTCAGTCACTAATGATGGATAACACAAATGGTTAGTGTTAGAGCGATTGATCGAATAAATGTCAATCGATCGATCTCGCTTGCGTCAGCGATTATCGATGAGCTCGGGAGACTTATATTCATAAAAAAGGATTAAACTTTAGAAAGTATGTTGTTTATTGACAATGTTATGTTTGTTGTTTAAGACTTTAGAGAATGTAGTTTCCTGACTCGTTAAACAACATTATGAACATACACGCTTGCGTGTCTCAACAGGAAGTATCCGCGTTCGTCTTGACCGTGGTATTAATCGGTGCCTGTTTCCTTTGTACAATGCAATGATTGTGCCCCCGTTTTGCCCTCATGTGTTTTGTGGTGGGGTTTACGGCTATACTAGCGAGCGATAATCAGCACGTTATACAATAGGCTGGGTAACATAATATATCACTGATTGGTAATAAGAATTTATAGAAGGCTCGGGATATGCAAATCGTGCAAGGGTTATCTATAGTCACATCAAAATCAGGGCTGGATTTTCACATAGGTGTGTAATGTTAGAAGGAAACAAATGCGGAACCATGGCATGATGTGGCTCAATATTTATTCTAAAAGTAACCCCCCATTTTTATCCCAATTATTCAGTGTGCATCATACTTAGGACAGCGTTCGAAATTAACGTCAGTCCTAAGGCCCGAAGCCGCCTGAAAACCACTCGGACCCACAGCTTTGCTTTCTGCAGGTCCTTATAGCCGACAGCTTTTTCATCACCAATAAATATGAGTATTATTTTCAGAAAATATCATTCAGTAATTTCTAGTTTAAATCTCTGAATTAAACTCTTGAACTCTTTGTTAGTTGTCACATTTTTGTTTGATGGGAAAGCTAAAATTTAGGACCTACCCAATCTGATCAGGACCCACCACCTTTTATGGTTCTGGGTCCTTAGGGCCTGCAGCTAAGGGCAAACAGGATGCTGATATTTCTAACGACAAAACAATAATCATTTAGAAACTCGAACCAACTTTTCTGTGCTTTAAAGGCTTTGGTTTAGCAATCGCAGCCTGGTTCTCTTGGTATGCTGCGCTGGTGCTTCACAGGAAACCAGGCTGTATCAATCGAAAGACTGGGGTACTTAGTACAGTTGTGTAACATAAATTCCCGTATTTTCTGAAACCAGGAAAAACATTCATCTTCAGACACAGCTATTGAGTAGTTTCTTCCTGCCCTGCTCTATGCGTCACATACGCCATGATATGCAGTTGGTAATGTTCGTATAAGTCGTATAAGTTAATGAGCAAAGAAGGGGATATGTACGTAAAGAAATGGCAAAGTGAAAAATTTTTAAATTAATAACTACTACTCTGTATACAGACAGATTGCATCGCATGGCCATTGATGCATGTATTTACTGTCTAGATCTATTTCACTTGATGACTATCATATTAGGAATCCTTCACAAATATAAGTGTCATTTTTCTATTATCCTGGCTGACGTATCTTTAACTATGGGCCAAATCGATATCTCGAAGTGACGTCACGTCAAATTCGGGGAACACCAGAAATGGGCTTTACACATTGTACCCATATGGGAAATCGAACCCGGTCCTTGGAGTGACGAGCGAACGATTTAACCACTAGGCTACCCCATTGCCCCTGGTGTCATGAAGAAATTAAGTAAATATTGCAGTATTTTTATGAAATAGTTCAATCCTCCAGCAACCCCTGCCCCCTATAATGTGTTTTCTGTAATGTTTGTTTGTACCTCACATGCTGAGTATATTGGCCTGGGGGGAATAAACTTCTGTTAATTCCAGATTAATTACATTCATAAACCTTAAAACATCTTTCAATATAAAGGGTACTATACTTGCTTACTATCGTTTATTACTTAACATCCCAAAGGTATGGAGAACAATATTGCAAAATATTAAAATAGATTTTTTTCACATTAAAACTGTATGTCCTTGGAACGACATTAAATATCCCTGTGAAGGATCTAGACTTCTCTATGATAAACTCATCTCAGCTACCAGCGTCCCGAATGTTTGTAATAAATGGGAAAGAGAGGTTGATAAATGTATTGATTGGAAGTGTATTTTTTCACGATATAGAAAAGCCATAAGTGACACAAAACTCTTAGAATTTCAATACAAATTCTTGCATAGAATAATTTATACCAAAAAAGAACACTACTAAAAATGAAATTGATTGACCGATGTGTGCTCTTTCCGTGGGTCAGAAGGTGAAAATATTGACCATGTATATATAAAATGTCCATGCGTCAAAACCTTCTGGGAGGATTTCAACAACTATGTTGATATAATCTTCGGAAAACATATTGAAATAACAAACAATAACATTCTTTTTTCTTCTTGTGTTGACAGTTTATTAACTCATATGATCATTCTAGCCAAACAACATATATTTGTTACGAACATCAAAGGGCATCAACCATGTATTAATTCATTTAAAGTTACCCTAAAAGACGTCTTCACAGTAGAAAAATAAATTGCTATTAAAAATGATAGAATCAGTCTTTTCCACAGAAAATGGAATGTACTACAAAACATGATTTAACTATTTCTGCCCATGTATTAGCGTTCACCTCTATTGCTATTTGCATGTGTCTAGATCAGTTGTCTTAACTGATCACTTGTTACTACCAATGTCAATGTTCACCTTGGTATAACATTCGTGACCAACTCGTGTTATTCCGGGACAAGCCGAATTGCAGGTTACGGAAAGGGGCGAGTGGTGACGAATGCTTGGTATAAGTGCCGATTCATCAGGTAGAGTTGTTTCTGTTCTGATTTATACTGTATCGTACTTTGAATGTACTTTAACTATGTAACCCACTGATTGCGATAAAGAAAAGGAAAACAACCAAACTTCTGTTCTGTCATAAATGCGATCGGAAAGGCGGCAGCTTGAAGACCAGATAACCTCTTTCATAGTAAACTTTCAAGGTAGTTTTCACGGCAGGATTGAACCGACGAATGAGTGCAGGATTAGGAATAAGCAGAAATTAGAATAAAAGAAATATCAATTTGCCTAATTTCACCATTAAACTGTTGAAAATTACTTATCTTAGCTGCCGTCGCTGGGACGTAGTGGGTAAATGTAGGCAAGGGAGGTAACTTTCCATTATGGTGGACATGTGATTCAACAAGTATATGTAGAGTTAACTCCCCTGTCCCTTCACTCCGTTGAACCATAAACTGGCAGGGGTAATGGAGGCGAAGAACGATTTGATATACCACGATTGGCGCTTAAATGTGGAATGAAATATATTTTATGTGAGTAATTATTAAAGGTCACATGCAACGTAAAACACAACTTTGCAGATTCTGATACCTTTCGGTACGGACATACCGAAACAAATCGTCAAAAATGCAAATTCAACTTATAAAGTTGAAAAATATCGCGATGAAAAAAACCGCGCGAAATCGGAGTTCAAACGTTTCACTAATTTTCCCCAGACTATTCTGGGGAAAACGGGTTTCAACAGCTGGGCTGCGCTCATAGCACGTTCGCAAGTAAATAGGTTCGCGCAGCTTGGATGCGGGTTGTCGGGTGAATATTCGGTGAAGGCTTTGGTGTGAGCTATTTTCCTAATGTTTTGTTGATATCTCACAGGCGCGAGCTTTTTATATGTTATGACAGTAAATTAACTGTTTATATAATTTCATTTGTCTATTTCACCACACGTTCTTCTTACCGAGAAACTTTCTCAGTTCGATACTTAAAAACAATGTCATTATTTAGCGTTGACAGAATTTCTAACTGTGATATAGATATGTCGTTGTCACAGACAAAACTCAATGTCTTGTTTTATTGACACCTGTGTGTCTGCCTGCCTGTCTGCTAATGACAATATTCAATACACAGCTGCTATCACTGACCTCAAGCGATTTGAACTTAACACCAATCAGGCTATACACCATAAACAAAATGCATTGATTTATGGCCCGAGTTCGGTCTCTGTCACATTATGTAATTACACAGACAGGCAGGTGTGATACTTGAACACATGACATGTTATGATGTCTGTTGATTGCAAAATGTTATACACAAAAAATGAGCATGTATTTACAAAACCCAACATCTCTCTATATATATACACACAATGAGCCGTGAAGGCATCTGCTAATGAACCAGCCGTTACACTTGAGTGCACACCCACCCGCTCTGACTGGGTTCGGTATCCCGGCTGCTTCGTTTCTTGGGAAGTAAACCGAAGTACACAATTTTGCACTTTCGATTTGCGATTGTACGCTTATAATTTTGTTTATATATTTTTTCGTAACCAGAAATGTATATTATATGTCATGAATAAGTGATAATTGTGTTTTAATTATGTTTGATTTTTTGGTTGCTTGTGACCTTTAAATATGAGGTTGGAAATCTGAGAGCACAACCCTGTGAGGAAGTGGATGTCTTTCTTTGATGGTGGCTATATTCTAATTTGACATTTAAAATATTTTTCGAACCGAAGCGAGGGAAGTACGTTGCCAACCTTTGCTAGCTTTGCTCGCAAATAGGGAGACTGGTAATTTTTCTCTCTGTTGCGCAACCCTATTTAGAATTATTTTAATTTCGTTTTGTCGAACATCTGACTGCAGATCGTTGCCTTATGACTGACCAACTTGAATAAACGTGACATTCATAGACTAGAGTAGCGTCCCTTTAACAAAGGGCGATTACTCTTGTGGACGGATCGACGGATTGCAACATAAAATGATCGCTAACACTATATTTAGGTGATCGGTTTTTTCCATGTATTGTCACAAACCGAAACATGAGTCTCATTAACCTATTCAGACAATGACCTACTTTTCAGCTGATCCGAATTTCCTCGTGTGAAAGTGAAAATAGACATCACAAACAACTATGGCTACACTGAATTCCAATTCCTTGTTTCATAAAACATGGCATTTACAAATGGATTTTAATTTTAAACTGTAATAACATCGTATTTCTATATTTTATGGCGAGGTGTAGGCAGCATGACTTTAACTTAGACGTCACAGACTGCCCCAGTATGATGAGGCTGTAAAATGATTCACAATGCATCTGGCTCACTGGTTACACCAGTTTTGTGTTTTTTGTGCTTATTCAGTGTAGTTCCGTAACGCATAATGTGATTGATATAATATCAAGTCCGTACCAGACCGCCAAACCTTTCTAGCGCGCAGAGCCTCGTTTTGAGATTTCCACGATTTCCAGGTTTCTGTTTGTCCGTGCTCGCTGTACGACAGAGCACGCTGCACGACATTTTTGCAAGGATTATAAGGAGCGTAGTGTTGCAATATAAACTAGTGTCCAAAAGAAACGATACCACGTGTTTCAAAGATCACTAAATGAAAACAAAACAACATAGACATTTCAAATTGATATCTTTCATTAGATAAATGATTTTACGGCATGTGTACAAAAGGTCATGGCAACCAAAGATTTACAATCATTAACACAGGGCTTTAAACGAAGTGTGGTGCCCAAAATTGAAATTTCATTTTAGCACAGTGGAGGAGGCTAGTGAGGGTAGTCTCTGAAAACAGTCTTAACGCCACTTTAGTACCGGGTATGTCCACCAGCAGCTGCGATACATGCCATGACACGCCTCCGAGCTGATGACGTCAAACGTCGGATGACGTTAGGGGCGATTCGCTGCCACTCATCCTGGAGACAATGTTCCAATTGTTGGAGGTTGGCTGGGGGCGCAGGGCGTTTTCTGATTTTCCGATTGAGGTGATCCCATATGTGCTCAACGGGATTCAAATCCGGTGAACACGCTGGCCATGGCAAAACCTGTATGTTGGCGTTGGCAAGGAAGTTCTGGGTCAATCTTGCCGTATGAGGCCTAGCATTATCGTGCTGGAACACGATTCCTCCTGGATGCTGTTGGGCGAATGGCTGCACGACTGGTCGTAAAACCTCATCCTGGTAACGCTGTGCATTCAGGTTCCCCCGAATAATTACGAGCCTCGTTTTCACATCATCGCAGATACTTCCCCACATCATTACACCTTCGCCTCCAAATGCATGGACTTGCTGGATGCAGTTCGGCGCCAAACGTTCACGAACTCTTCGGTATACTCGCTGCCGACCATCGTTCTTGTAAAGGCAAAACCGGCTTTCGTCTGAAAACAAGACACGTGCCCAGTTTCGACGTTGCCACCGCCGAACACGCCTGGCCCATATCAATCGGTTGACTCAGTTTTGACGTGTCAGGTAGACTCCGCGGTAGGGGCGACGTGCACGGATACCATGTGCCTGCAGTCTCCTGTAGACGGTTTGTCGACTGATCCGGTGTCCCAGTCCCGTCGCCGCCGTTAACGTCGCAGGAACGAAGCGGTTACGTAGGTGAAGTAACCGGATGTGGTTGTCTTGAATAGGCGTGGTCACCCGGGGTCTCCCGCTTCTCGGCCTGTCTGTTGTTCGGCCTGTTTGACGCAACCGTCGCATTGACCTGGTAACGATTATGCGCGCACATCTAAACGTTCTTGCTACAGCGGCGTGTGATGCTCCCTGTCGGACCATTCCAACGGCTCTTTCTCTCTCGATCGCTGTCAAACGTGCCATTTCTTTTGTGTGCTTTTAACTGCTGTGGGCACAACGTGTCGGACCAGCGGTTTTATACAGTTCATCTGCACGTGCATTTCGTGGTACACGACTTAACGTCATTTTGAGTATTCGTGCGATTGCTTCTTAAGTGAATAAATGTTACCGGGTTTTTCGATCGAATACGTTTGGTTAGGAACGTGGGATACACAGAAATATGTTTTTTCTCCAAAAAGTATCATTAATTTAAAAATATTGAAAAAAATATTTGGTATCGTTTCTTTTGGACATGAGTTTACAAGTGCTTAGATGTATCAAATAATACTGATTAATATTTATGTATCCAGTGAATTGAATTGGTCTAAAAATTCTGGACTGGTTATTGTACTAAGTTGCGCAATAGGACGGAACCCAGTCAAAAGGAAACGAGACAGTTGTGTAATCAATGTTTTGATTTGTACGCCGCTGTTTGATCAGCAAGTTTCCGTGTGAACGATGATGTCTATAATAACTGTGACTGATCACCGACTTTTTGGCTCTTGTGATTTATGGACGAATTACAGTAATACGTCCAATGTTTTGGTATCGTTTATGAGAGCTCAGGGCACAGACGTTAAGAATGACATTATATGGTCAAGAGGTTATAATGCCACTCTGGTGCGTTTTAGGGACTTTAAGTACAAAATGTTTATTCCTGATACAAGGTCGCCTCGAAAAGCTGTAAATTTGCCCACTACAGGGTATTTAACACACATACTTATGTGATAACGTGTGATGTAGATATTGCGTTAAATCGAGTTGTGAAAGTTCAAAATTTAGGAGTATGCCTGTGCTTAATACATTTAATATTGTCTTTTCTTCAATACCATTACAGAGAAATCCAAACACTCAGGCTGCGGTGTTCTTAGGCCTCATGTCTGCACAGATCTCATCCCGCACCGAGCTGCGGGCGAGTCAGGACGACAGAACCACTCGATGTACTACCAACACGGTTTTCCTTGTGCTCCTTCTGTCTGTGAGCCTCCACTTCTTCAACTACGCGATATGCTTCCCCGTCTTCACCTTCTACGTCATCAACGTCGTCAGCGAAGAGAACCACTACAACATTAGTGCCTCACATCCTTGCAGTAACGGCACTCACCGCCATCAGGAGATGGAGCTTCAGCAGAAGGTTACTGAGATTATGACGCCAAATCCGTTCTTATCGTTCTTCCCAGGCTTGATTCCTACATTGCTGATTGGACCCCTCCTTGATAGACTCGGAAGGAAGATTGGTTTTCTCATACCAATGACTGGAACACTTGTAAAACAAATAATATACCTTGTGGTCATTTGCAAGAAATTACCTGTACGAATTTTATACATTGGTAATGCAATTGAAGGCTTGACGGGCGGTTTTGCTACAATGCTAATGGCTTCCTTTGTTATGGTAGCAGATCTCACCCTCCCTGGTAGAGACAGGACTTTGAAAATCTCCATAGTGGAAGGAATACAAGCCATCTTTTCATCCTTGGGCGGCTTTGCAACCGGTTTCGGCATAAAGTACTTGGGATTCAGAAACAGTGTTATTATCGCGCTGGTTCTGAATGTAGTGAACATAATACTGACCACCATACTTCTTTCAGAGACACTCATTGTCCGAGTCCGAACCTCCTGCTATGCCATTCTCAAAAACATGAAGAGATGCTTCGTTTTCTATTGTCAAGATACTGAGGACAGGAGACAACTAAAGTTAATCCTTGGGATGACTGCGTTCATTTTGACCGTAGCTGTCAACTTCTCCAAATCAGACATCGTGAGCACGTACCTGTTCAAACCCAATTTGTGTTGGGATCAAGAGAAGATCAACATCGTCCTGGCAGCGAAGGTAATAGTCTACTGGTTGGTGATCCTCTGCTGTATGCCGGTGTTCCAGATAGTGCTAGGAATGGAGGACAGGACCATCGGGATCGTTGGGTGTGTGTCATCCATCGCAGCGTGCTTCATCATGTCGTTCGCAACGAATGATAAAATTGTGTATGCAGGTGAGTTCTACTGGATGAGTGCGTCAGTGAGTGAGTCAGCCTGTGAGTCAGCCTGTGAGTCAGCCTCTCAGTGAGTGATTATGGTTTTACGCCGCTTTCAGCAATATGGATGCAATATCAGAGCAGGGAGACATCAGAAATGGGCTTCACACATTGTACCCATGTGGGGAATCGAACACGGATCTTCTGAGTGACAAGCTAACGCTTTAACCACTAGGCCACCCAGTCGCCCTGAGTAAGACTATTACTGACTTCAGTGCTTCTCGTAGGCCGGTATTTGATTCATTCGGATGAACGTTGTTGTTTTAAGCCTCTTTATGCAATATCCCAGCTATATGACGGCGCACTGTAAATAATCGAGTCTGGACCAGACAATCCAGTCATTAATATCATGAGTACGCAACTGAGATATCATGACGTCTTTTAACCAAGTCAGCGAGCCTGACCATCCGATCATGTTAGTCGCATCTTACGACAAGTTGTGTCGCTGAAGATTCTAAACTGGATCTTCAAGGAAAAAATTGGCTGAAAAGTCAGATAATCAAAATGAGGGCGGATTCTGGATTCGAACCCTCGACCACTGTGTTTAACTACAGTTTTTAACTGAACGCAATACTGGGCAAGCAGTTTGTAGTTTTCATGTTATGAAAGAGTGCGGTTTGTGTTTTTCTACGCTTTTAGCAGTATCGCAGCAATATCACGGTGGGTGACCCCAAAATGAGCTTCAATCCTGTGGAGAATCGAACCCGGGTCTTTGGCGTGACAACTAGGATACCGCCCCGCCCCAGATTTTATGAAGTGTCCCCGTTATGCTTGTTGTTTCGGGTAGTGCATACAATATGAATGTTTATTTTAGTTATCGGGACCGGCGTATTCATGCGACTGTCAATCCCCATGCTTCGCTCCATCATGTCAGGCAGTGTCAGACAAGACGAGCAAGGTCAGTGAGCCATTTCCTGTCTAGATTTGTATAGAAATATTCTTGAATGAGCGGAAATATATTTGAAAGATTTTGTTTATTCGACTGAGTACAGGGAGATTGTTTTGCGCTTAAAAAAGTGACATTTTCCTGCTCTCCTCTGACTTTAACACTGTTCAAAACAGTTACTTCATGATTCTGTCAGAAAGAAATAGTTTTAATTCGAACGAGAACTTGGGTATGATAATATCTTCCCCAAATGCTCAAATTAATTTGATCAAATTAAAGACACGCAATACAGTTCCGTCACACCTAGTTTGAAAGTATTGTGAGACGTTATTCGTATTGTGTGATGAGTGGCCGCTGCATCTATGGACACATTATAATGCGAGTTCCGGTTATTCCTGGGCTCGGAAAGATGTCTTACTCAGTTGTGGGCGAGTGAAGGACGTCGTGGGGGAGTGAGTTGACTAAAACTCCGTTTTGTAAAGATCTCAGTGATTTCACCGCGTGACTGCTTTATGTGCTATGAATCGGACTGTGAACATATTTCAGTGACACCAACAAGCATGGTCGTGGTTATGACAAAGGTCATCTCTCCGTGCCCCCGTTATGTTGGACACTCAATAGAATTGTAACATTAAAGTAAGGCCTGTTTGGCAGATAATACAATACGCCTGTCGCAGTGAATATAAAGAAATTGATACAGGCAGCATGCATATTATTTGTATAGGTATAGCTGGATTCAAATTTTTCAAAGGGATTAATCGAAGCTCAGAATATGCACGTGGATTGTTATTGTTTGACCCAAGTGACCACAATTGGATATGTTCTCTGGAGGTGCATCATCTACTCTCTGTTATTCTGCAGGGTACATCATCTATGCTATGCTACTCAGTAGGGTGCATTGTCTACAGTAAGTTACTCTGCAGGTCCATTGTCTACTGTGGGTTGCTCTGCAGGTGTATCGTCTACTGTAAGTTACTCTGCAGGTGTATCGTCTACTGTGAGTTACTCTGCAGGTGTATCGTCTACTGTAAGTTACTCTGCAGGTCCATTGTCTACTGTGGGTTACTCTGCAGGTGTATCGTATACTGTAAGTTACTCTGCAGGTGTATCATCTACTGTGAGTTACTCTCCAGGTGTATCGTCTACTGTGAGTTACTCTGCAGGTCCATTGTCTACTGTGAGTTACTCTGCAGGTCCATTTTCTACTGTAAGCTACTCTGCAGGTCCATTGTCTACTGTGAGTTACTCTGCAGGTCCATTGTCTACTGTGAGTTAATCTGCAGAGTCATTGTCTACTCTGAGTTACTCTGCAGGTCCATTATCTACTGTGAGTTACTCTGCACGTGTATATTCTACTGTGAGTTACTCTGCAGGTGGATCTTCTACTGTGAGTTACTGTGCGGAAGCATCGTCTACTGTGAGTTTCTCTGCACGTCTACCGTTTACTGTGAGTTACTCTGCAGGTCCATTGTCTACTGTGAGTTACTCTGTAGGTGCATCGTCTACTCTCAGTTACTCTGCAGGTGTATCGTCTACTGTGAGTTCCTTTGCACGTCTACCGTCTACTGTGAGGTACTCTGCAGATGCATCGTCTACTGTGAGCTGCTCTGCAGATGCATCGTCTACTGTGTGTAACTCTGCAGGTCCATTCTCTACTGTGAGTTACTCTGCAGGTCCATTGTCTACTGTGAGTTACTCTGTAGGTGCATCGTCTACTCTCAGTTACTCTGCAGGTGTATCGTCTACTGTGAGTTCCTTTGCACGTCTACCGTCTACTGTGAGGTACTCTGCAGATGCATCGTCTACTGTGAGCTGCTCTGCAGATGCATCGTCTACTGTGTGTAACTCTGCAGGTCCATTCTCTACTGTGAGTTACTCTGCAGGTCCATTGTCTACTGTGAGTTACTCTGCAGGTCCATTGCCTACTGTGAGTTACTCTGCAGGTGTATCGTCTGCTGTGAGTTACTCTGCAGGTGTATCGTCTGCTGTGAGTTACTCTGCAGGTCCATTGTCTACTGTGAGTTACTCTGCAGGTCCATTGTCTACTGTAAGCTACACTGCAGGCCCATTGTCTACTGTGAATTACTCTGCAGATGTATCATCTACTGTGAGTTACTCTGCAAGCGTATCGTGTACTGTGAGCTACTCTGCAGGCGGATTGTCCATTGTATGTGTCAGTGCAGGTCTATACTGGCCACATAAAGAAACTGTGCACACAGAAAATGTAGATATAGGCGCACAGCGTCTTTATACATAAATACAGGTGTGAACATAGTAAGTATTTGAGACAATCAAACGCTCATGCACGTGTCAGGTGACGTGACGTCATTGATAGTGACCTATGGACTTGCAATGTGTTAGTGCACGTGCAGCCCGTGCAGCTGCACACAACATGTGAAATTCAGAAATTGCTGTCACTATCAAAAGCTTGATCTTTGGTCATTCAAACGTTCACAAATTCACATGAGAAGTCACATGCACATCATGCTAAGATTAACATCTGCTCAACCTCATGAAGCCAATGGAATGGTTCGAGCAGGAATGAGCCAACAACAGGTGGCAGCACATTTCCAATGCAATCGTAACACGATATCTGCATTGGTCAGGCGTTATGGAAACACTAATGACGTCGCCGACCACCCACGGTATGGGCGTCCCGGACGTAACGACGCCAAGACAGGACAGATGGATTCGGGTGACACAGGTTCAAGAAGGCAGTGACCACGTCCAAGACCATTCCCCAGGCCTACAATGCTCATTCAGTAACCTCTATGCGTCGTCGATGCAATGCTGTGCTTCACGCACATGGTGGTCATACCCGTTATTGACTTTGTGACTTCGTCGTCTGACGCCGTACTCGATTTTGAACTTCTGACGTCATCGTTACGGATATTGTTCTTGCTCTTTCCACATTTTCTTGTGGTCCGATACTTCAGCTTATAAAGTGTTTACATCATTTCGTCTTTTCTGTGTTGTATTCCAATTCTGAAAGAATTTTCTGTGTGCACAGTTTCTTTATGTGGCTAGTATACATAACTCATGATCATGAAGTGCAACTTCTCCTCTAGTTTTTGGTATGTTTGCTGATGTTCTACAATACGTTGCCGTTTGTTTTGTATGCCATATGTTACTCTGCAGGTGCGTTGTATGCGGGGATGGGATGTGTGGAGATGGTGTGCGCGGCGGTCATGGGGACGCTGACGGTGTTGTTGTACCGGGCAACGGTTTCCTCTTACCCAGACACAGTGTTCGTCGTCATGGGCTGCGTCATGCTTGTCGTGCTCGGTATCTTTTTGTAAGTATTACGTAACCTGACGAGTGCTTCCCTCTGACCATAATGCTTTTGACAAGAAATTTTAGGGTTACGCAGCTTAGGCTGAAGACGGATCATGATCCGGGTTAGAATTGGTCTTCAGCAACCCATGTTTGTCGTAAGAGGCGTCTAACGGGATCGGGTGGTCAGGCTCACTGAATTGGTTGACAGGGTTACGCACATTAGGCTGAAGACGGATCATGATCCGGGCTAGAATTAGTCTTCAGCAACCCATGTTTGTTGTAAGAGGCGACTAACGGGGTCGGGAGGCTCGCGGAATTGGTTGACACATATCATCGTATCCCAATTGCGTAGATTGATGTTCATGACGCTGATCAATAGATTACCTGGTCCAGACCCTGTTATTTACAAACCGCCGCAGTAAAACTTGAATATTTTTGCTTCCTTTACAGCATTTTGAATTTGTACAGTCGACACAGTTCTGCCAGTCTCGAGGGATATACGCGGCTGGACGGCAGCGACAGCAACCACAGAGTCGTGAATTAGACGCCGACGACGACACTAGGACAACTGGACAGCAAATGACAGCCAAACTAAAATCGACGACAACGACAGCAACGATTTAGAGTTAAACTTCTCAGCAGCAACAGTGGCATGAGAGATGTAAACCAGACAACTGCGTTCTTCGTTCATTATACACGGATGAAAGTATTCCAAGTTTGTTTTCAGTGTATTTCAAACGTAATTAATAATAATAATAATGTGTCCATTTATATAGCGCCACACTCCGCGCTAAGTATGCTCAGAGCGATAAAAATCAGTAGCACAGCACATTATTACCCCGGATAACCCAAGCTGCCTGTTAGGCGCTAGAAGGTTGTAGTCACATGACTTATCCCACCGGGTACCCATTTTCTGCTGGGTGAACAGCGGCAATTTTAAGCAAATTCACTTGCCTAAGGTGAGATCACAGTCATGTGCTTCGTCGTTTCGATTGCTGAAAGAAATGTTGCTAAATTTTAATTATACCTGTTTAACTATCTACCTTTCATGCGACAGTTTGTTAAAATATATGTTGTGTTCCGGTTACTTTATGTAAAGATGAGGAAGAAATGAATTTGCAAACAGGTGCTCCTTACCGATGTGGGACGTGACGAAAGATTCAAGGATTAATCTACCTCACAGTCCCTTCAGTTGGGTAATACTTCGACCGAACGTAGCGTTATCACAACACTGCAACCCCTTATAAAACAACTACGACAACGATGTTTACTCAAACCCATCTTTCAGCCCCTATATCTAGCTAATTACCCTATTCTTGGCTTATCACTCCCCCACACACACACACCTTATGTTGGGTAATACTCTCTGAACGCAGCGTTATCACAACACGGCACCCCATAATAAAACCATTACGACAACGATGTTTATACTCAAACCTTCTTTCAGCCCCTTAATCTTGCTGATTACCTTATTCTTGGCTTACTTCTAATCCGAGAAATAGTATTCTTCTGCAAACGGAAAATTCGTCCAACTGGAGCCCAGAACAATCATAATGGTTAATTTTAGGAGTAATCCAGAATGAACAAAATAATCTAGACTTGACTGTTTTAATGTATCCTTTGGGACCTCGTCTTTTCGTGTAGTCGTGAGGGACGACGGGGTAGACTAGTGGGTAAAGCGTTCGCTCGTCACGCCGAAGACATTGGATCGATTCCCCACATGGGTTCAGTGTGTGAATCATATTTCTGGTGTACCCTGGCCTGACATGGTATCGATATTGCTAAATGCAGCACAATGCTACATTCACCAAGCCACTCGAAGAAAGGTTCGAGATGAGACACCCTAGTTTAACTACTTGTACTTGTGGTATCAATCCTTTTATTCAGCTCATCCAAAGATAGATGAATTTTTAAATCTATGTTTATCCTGCCAGAGACAGACAATTTCCATTGTGATTGGTTAATTGTCACCTATACTGCGCATATGTTTGCCTTTCTAAGGAATTTCTTCATTTCTGAAATTTTACAAACTCATATATTGAATATATAATAATAGTAATGATAATAATACTACTTTATTTCTTCGAAAGGAATTCATTTTGCACCAATACAGAGCTCTTGTACAAAAGATATAAAGGACAAACAACACCATAATATATATATGGTTTAGTTTTGGTTAAATATTTGTTATGGTAACAATTTGAAGAGGGTTCATAACATATATTCGCAATATAGTCGGAATCGCACAATCAGCTCTACGTTTAGCAGAGCTTTCTTATAAACATTGACAGACTTTTGTCACTTTTATTCATATTTGCTTTTGTAACCAAATCTATGATGCATTTATAACGTTTTGTTGACTTGTACTATTGATCTGATTTGTTGATATATGTTATGCAGACATTTATATTGTATGTGCTGTAAACTATCGTGTGCTTTTTTGTTTTCCAAGCATGCGTTGTATGCTTGAAGTTAATGTTTTGTAATAAAACTGAATAACGTTTCACTGACTTCCTGTTTTTTAATTGTTAAACATATTGAAACGCTTAATATCGCCTTCCTGTATATGATCCTCTGTGTCCACTGCTGTGGTACATCATTGCCTTACTTAATGCGGACCCCTGAAGATCCGAGTTAGAATTGAATCTTCTGTAACTCATACATTGTCATAAGTAGCGACTAACGGGATCGGGTGATCAGGCTCGCTGACTTGGTTGACACATGTCATTGTATCCCAAACACGTAGAACGATGCTCATGCTGTTGCTCACTGGATTGTCTGGTCCAGACTCGATTATTTACAGACCGCCGCTGAGAGTTGACAGACCCAAAATTAATGTCTTTCTTTTATGCACTTTGTATGTGTATTTTCAGGCCACCCAGTCTCTCTTGCACGCTCAAGTAGTGTGTTTTTTATATGGTTGGTCAAAGATATTATATAGAACAAACTTTATGGATAACAACTTCTTTTTATTCGTGAGTGCGACGTTTCGATACAGATTCTTGTACCGTTGTCAAGCATAATGGGACATGAAGAGGGGGGGGAAGTGTATATATACTGGATGTGACAATGTGACAAAGAAAACAACATAATTAACATAATTGGCTAGGCAGAAGGCTGATGAAGCCAGAGAGTAGACAAAGGACAGGCGTAGAAGCCAATGATGTACAAATGATAATGACATGTTTATACAGCAGTGAGTTTATACAGTGGATTGGGCTTGGTGGATGAGTGCATCATAAGCGGATGGAATGAAGTATCCTTGGTCTCGGTTGATGGTGGGCTTTTGGGGTTTGATGTGGATGGCTTCGGTGAGCTTGCGTTTAGTGAAGTCTGTTTGTTTGTTAGAGAGAATGGTGATGTCAGACCACTCTATTTGATGATTGGGGCTTGCTTTGATGTGGTCGGAAATGGCTGATTTGCTGTCGGAATTGGTAACAGAGGTCTGATGTTCTTTCACTCGGGTGTTGATGGGTCGGGAAGTTTCGCCTATGTAGCTCTGCCCACAATCACAGTTTATTTTGTAGATGACACATTTTGGGTTGTTGTTCTTTACGGTGGTGGGTTTTCTTCCATTGGCATGGAGAATGTTGTTAAGGTTGGAGGACGCGGAGAAGGTGGTATCTATGCCAGCTTGATCTTTCAGGAGGCGGCTGATTTGATGTGACGGTTTGCCAATGTAGGGGATGGATATCTTGATGGGGGCTAAATCTTGTTTGGGTACGTTCAGTTCAGGGAATATATAATGCCTCTGTCCAGACCCACCACGAAGGCGTAATTCATCAGGCCCTTAGTAAGCAAGTGTGTTATTTTTATCGTTATTATTATTATTATTATGGCAATGCCTAGTCCGCGTCAGTGTGGCACGCGCCCTGCAACTTCGGCTAATTTACCGCTTATGTCACCAACAATACGCCTCAGTGACCAGCTGGCCATTTGCTGACCCCTACTACATAAAAGCTGACCCGCGCTTGACCGTGAACTGCTGACCAGGAAACGACTACAGCTGAGAAGGGTTTCTCTTGGCGCTTTTCTGCTATTCACAAACTAACACTTCCTGAAAGTATCGTTTAACATTTCAGAGATAGAATAACTAAACTTTGTTTCACTCAGTGATTTTTTTATACAGGAAAGTAAAAAGAATGCATATTGTATCGGTGTTTATAAAATGAACCCGACTCTAGATTTCAGATGTGTTCACACGAATGAAAATCAGACTTTGTTCTTTTCAATACTTTGTAAAATTGAGACCAGCTGAGTTTAGAGATTCAGGAAATAGAAGCATAGTTGTGAATTTAAACGAAACACGACCAAACACAAAAATGTCTAACGCGTTGTGAGAACGCATCACAGATGAAAGTGTCTTTTGAAGAACGAATAGATAATATTATGAATAGCAATACTTTCGTACTTTATTATGCTCGAATGCCCAAATATGCAAATGCAAACAGAAAATAGCTGTGTGTGAACCAAATCATTGATATCGATATCACTAAATTTAAGGCTCCATTTTCTTTATGAGTTATTTCCAGTTAACCAGAAATAGTCCTAGTACAACGGATGCATGCTCTTTAAATTGTCCTGCATTGAACTGACCCTAAACAAATGTGTATACAGCACAGAGCGTATGGCGATGCTTTGTCAGGCTTTACAGATCGACTTCAGTTTGCAGTTAGAGAATTCACCGATCACGTTTGTATGTTGTCTCCTTTCGTCACCTGCTCCTCGCCTCGATGCAGACCATTAGGTCCACGAGGCCTCTATTCATATGCCGCCACAGGGCTCATAGTCCGGACATTGAACAGTGGTTTAACTGACCGGGATGTTACCTCTGGAACTTCTTTATTAACTCGAATATGAGAGAATATCAAGTAATTCACACAAAAGATTTTGCCTTTATGGGTGAGATGACCACGTTAAAAGACCTCACAGAGAACACAGCACAACGACACTCAACAGAAGACAGCCCAACAGTGTCGATTAGTTTGTCCGCCATGTGAGAGAGATATTAGACATCTGATATCTGGGGCCGTATGTAAAAGGTGAAAGAACACTCTAATGTCGAGAAAATAGACACAAAGGACTCCTGACATTTGCTCATTCTAAGAGCACTCTTGATATAAGGAGTCTTTATAATTAGGTCTTAAGACAATTCTCAAAATTACCCTGTCTCAGTACTTTTTAACTTTTAATTCTGAGAACTTTTATATATATAGGTATCGAATCTTTGCAACAGGTCGTTGCACCTAAACGTGGTTTCATAAAGAACTGTGTACAGTTTGCTTGTATTCTAGGAAAAATGTTCTGGTGTCAACTAAACTTGACTCCTAGACAGACTGAATAACTATTTGATATTGTAAGAATAATCAATTTGGCGATATAAACTTAGGCATTCACGCTGATCAGCAGAGGAATATTTGAAATTTAAGCGTGACTGTTCATTGTCACACTTTAGAGTATGTTGGGATTGTGGGACATGCACTCATACGTACACATTCGTATTTCAATACATGATCGCTATTCCATTATGTATCTCTTGTGTAAAGTGCATGTTAGCAAGAAAATAATATTCTCTTTTTAATGTTAAACATATTTTTTGTATCATTTATAGACCATATGGTATATGGTTTTTGTTTTCAGGTGTGCAATATCGAAATAGCTAGGGTCTATAGTCGGCTTACGTTTACACTATGGCCGGATTTGTATAGTCACAAATTACACGGTTATGTAAAACGATGACCTGTGACCGGTGACCAGCAGTGACCAGAGCGTCTGATGCAGCTGATAATACTAGTCTCTCTTTGTGTACCGCAGCAGAAAACTGTGAGTAGACCTGGGTTGATATCATCGAGCACCAGGTCATACAAAGGTTAAATGCTTATTTTAGATCAGTGGTTGCGCTGGCCACATAGATGTTATGCTAACCCAGTCAAAGGGAATGTGAGCCATGACAACCACTCTGACCAGCTGGCCGTCGCACGGACCAATGAAAGAAAGAAAGAGGCAGGTGACACATGTGTGCACGTGCGCCCTGAGCCTTGAGACACTTTGTTTGAAAGCCTTGCCTTATACTTCCCCACACAAAGTTTTGTGCACCCGTGACTGTTGGGTGAGTCTGACAACCATGTCGTAGATCAGGGACAGCACCTTTGGATTACATATCGTTGGAATTCTCGGACCGATTTCGGAGGTTTTCGACACATACAGGTTCGTCTTAACAATGTCCTTTGTTACAACACCTGGGATCAGAGACCACATAATATTATATGGTCTCTGCCGGGATCAACAACACGTACATAAGTCAGTTTATTCATAATAATCTCACGAAAGCTTCTTCCACAAAGTGTAAACTCTTATAATCATCATCGCATATAGCTCTCTGTAACTCTGTGACATTTGGTCATTGTGTTTACTGACTGTATGAATATCACGTGTATTCGCCTTGGGATATTTTCTTTGTTATCATCTGCCGCCAAGGGATGCGACAATGTATCCAATGTTCTGCTTGAGTGACTATCATACCCGACGAATCTAAAACACCTGAACAATATCTTTTACAGGTTGTGGATATGCTGATGGAATTGTGACGAAGTTAAACAGCTGTTCTGTGGACAACGGACGTCTTCATGCTGTAATTCATGACGAGGAACATCAGTAATTCCCTTTGTTGTCATGTTTAAAGGCGCCACATCCTGAATGCTGATTTATTGTCGAGCCAGAGTACTGAAATGCGTTCAGAGGTCATCACAACGGTATCTAATGAAGAGTCGTTGTACTAGGACACAGATAGATGCCAAGATAACCAGAGTTTGAAACGAATACTGACATTGTCATTCCGATGTCTGTCTCACTTGTATATGAATGACCTGAAGAAATAGGACCACCTTGATGTTTTATCGGAATATCCTCGAGTAATCACATTGATATTTCGACCTGCCAGAAGAGATCTACTCTTTTGGACCAATATCGAAATCTCATCTCAATAATAGTGTAAATGATGGAGTGTTGAGACCTTCTGTCCATCTGTTTCCTTCCCGTGGTCGAGCGACATATGGACATTATCAGAGGTCGTCCATGAAATTAAATGAAACATTCACCGATTACTATTACGCAGGGTCATTACTGATTGTGGAGAACTCATTACTTTTCCCGGTATCAGAAACATTACAAGTGTATACGAGGTCGAGTTCAGAGATATATGAAGCTATTTCGGAAGTAAGCAAGTCAAAATGGATGACATTAAAAAACACGACTTAACGTCGTCCAAAGATGACAAAAGTAGTGATCAAGAAAAGCCAGTGTCTTACATTAAGGAAAGAGTTGTAACCACCATCGTTCTGATGCTGTACATGAGTGCCAGTATGCCTTCCGTCGCTTTGTTCACCCAATACATCCATTCTCGCTATGAGGACTTCTACAGGAACAGCACAAACTCCTCGTCAACATCGCCTGGTACACATTCACCATGTCTTCGCAACACAAGCGAAGAAGCTGATGAGTTGCAAGTGCACATTCAACAGTCCACGTCGTATGAGGTACTGAAGTTAAGCTTGTCTGTTCAGGTCCCTGCTATCATCGTCAACATAGTCGTAGGGTCCTACTCAGACCACATCGGAAGGAAGATGCTGTTTATATTGCCGCTGCTAGGATGTATTTGTAAATATGTAGGTTTCATGCTGGTTGTCAAGTTCCATCTTCATCTCAACTTCATAATCCTCGGGACCCTCCTGGACGGTTTTTCCGGTTCAGCAAGCACCTTCCTTCTTGCCAACATGGCCTATGCAGCCGACGTAACGAAGACTCACGCGACCAGAACATTCGCTATAGTAATTGCCGATAGCTCGGTGGCCATCGCCATAGCACTAGGACAGCTTATGACAGGATTCCTTATTGAGAAGCTTGGCTACTTCTGCCCATCAGTCATTAATACATCTTTAATCCTGCTTGCCACAACCATCGTCATATTTGGCCTTACGGAAACAGTAAAGAAAACGGAGGTTAAGGAACTTTCGCCTGTTGTTCATTTAAAGAAAGTGTTCGGATTTTACGTCAGCAAAAGGCGAGACAATAAACGTTCCATATTTATTTCCTGTGTGATTGTCTTTGCCCTACTAAGCATTGTGAATATTGGTATAAAATTAGTTGAGACATTGTACCAGCTTGGTCGACCCTTCTGCTGGGACCCCGAAGAGATAGGTTACTACGGTGCCTATTCCACAGTATTCATGACCATTTGCAGTCTCGTTGCCATCAAGCTTGGGTCATCGTGCGTGAGGGTGGAGATTCTTGCTGTGACAGGGATGTTCTTACAGATGGGGTCTCTCATTCTGGAAGGCCTGGCCAGTACAGACGCCATGATGTATGCGGGTAATATGCTACGTTTGTCTTAAAAATAACTAATAGTATGCAGAACTTTACAAATTGTACAATTCTTTTATATTCCCTAAATACATAGGTAAAAGCTCTCAGCAGAGTGTTTGAACACTATACACTCACTTTTTTTTGTCTGTTATTTTACGCCGCACTCAGCATTATTCCAGCTATATGGCGGCGGTCTGTAAATAATCGAATCTGGACGAGGCAATCCAATGATCGACGGCATGAGCATCGAAGTACGTAATTTGGATATGTCAACCAAGTCAGCGAACCTGAACTCCCGATGCAGTTAGTCGCTTATTACGACAAGCATGGGTTGCTGAAGACCCGGTATTTCGCTGGTGCTACACTCATTACTTACAAAAGCACATAACCCTTGTATATTTAGGATAGGATCTCCACATGCCATGACACTTATTTTCGTCACTGTTTCTGTACCCGATTTCCTCTGGTTATCTCTCACGGTTTCTCAGCACCATGTCAGTAGTAGTGGCCAGGTTTCGCAACATTTCACTTCGGGCTTTCGTCTCACATCAGTGGTCTAGAGATCCGGGTTAGAATATTATTGATCTTCAGTAACCCATGCGTGTCGTAAGAGGCAACTAACAGGATCGGGTGGTCAGGCTCGCTGACTTGGTTGACACATGTCATCGTATCCCAATTGCGTTAATCGATGCTCATGCTATTAATCACTGGGTTGTCTGGTCCAGGCTCGATTATTTACAGACCGCCGCCATATAGCTGGAATATTGCTAAGTGTGGCGTAAAACTAAACTCACTCTCTCCGTGGTCTAGTGGAGAGCGCGTCAGCCGAAGGTTAGTTGTTCGAATCTTGGAATCCTAGCATACCAAATGGCGCTGAAAGATGGTGCTTGTTGTTACCCTGTCTGGCGCACATTGAGGACACAAAACAAGGACTGTATACAGAGCGGGACATCCATGATACTGCAAATGGTATCTCAGAGGGCTAGCTGGCACTAAAACACGCATTCTGGGACCACTACTAGCAGTCACATACATTACATCCACGCTTTATAAGACCCGACACACATTTCACCTAGCCTCACCTCCCACAGCCTCACCTCCCTAACTTGAATACCACAATAGCAATCCAGGTCCTGATTTTCGTTACTGACATTTCACGTGTATTGCTGGAGAGAACTACCCACGATTATAAACGCAAAAGATACTATTAGTAACATCTTAGAACATTTAGATCAGTCTTAGTAACGCGAATTAAGAGAGTTTTATCCGTCCCCTTTTTGTCGTAAAGTGTATCTACCAAACTTGCCATTGTGTTCTCGAACTCTGGAAAACATAGATTTATAAAAATGATTTTGTGGCAATGATGGACATGTGTATGTGTATAAATTTCGTTTCGTCGGTATATGGCTGAAATATTGCCGATGCGACTTAAAATCTCAACTCAATTCATTTGAATTATAATGAGTTAATTAATTTTATATTGATATTTGTAGATATCTGATATTTGTATATATATTATATTTGTATTTAATTTATATTTGTTTACATTATATTTTTCTAAAATTTTCATAATGTTGATCATCTGAAGAGACTAGGGGTCAGAAGTTTAAGTCAATTATTTTATGGGCATATTATTTCAGTGCCCGTTGTTGGGTCAATCAGTGGTGTGTCGGTGCCTGTGGTTCGGTCGGTGATGTCGCACATGGTGGATCCTCAGGAACAAGGTATGTACTGATGGATGTGACAATACCCGTAGCACATAGGTAGCGGTTATTCAAACGTTTTAAGATCAGGTGTCCGTTCTCAATATTCCACCATTAACCACATTTTTACGTTGCAGGCATTAAGTTCAAAATAACTCTGTAGGCCAAAAGGCAACTTTTATTGTGTATTCATTGATTTTCGAATAGCGGATGATTATGTTGACAGGAAACATGTATTTACTCTTGCGAAAAGGATGTTATGGTAAAATGTACAATCTGTTAAAAAGTACGTATGAATATATAAAAGCGAGTGTAAAGTGCTCTAAAACGTTATTTTTTGTACCTCTAGTGGATTACGACAAGGGTTCGTTTTGAGCCCTGTACTGTTTATATTCTTTATTAATGAGCTTCTGTATGTATGGTAGCATAATGGTTAAAGCGTGTGCTCGTCACGCTGATGACCCGGGTTCGATTCTCTGCATAGATACAATGTGTGAAGCCCATTTCTGGTGTCCCCTGCCGTGATATTGCTGGAATATTGCTGAAAGCGGAGTAAAACCATACTCACTCACTAGAAATGTAGGCTGCTTGTGATTATGGTATATTTGTTGCCCAAAATATTGAAGATCTAATGTTACTCTTATTGCCAATGACATTGTGCTTTTATCGTATACTGTTCGGGGCTTGCAGTAACTGTTGTTAGGTATATATTGCTGACACTGTCACTGTAGATGAACAGGTATTGTTTCAATGCAGTACTTGTACTTCCTTCGTACCAGGTGCAATCTTCTCCAGCATGGCTACCGTCGAAACCCTGAGTGGAGCTATTGGGAGTGCGACCTTCACCTTCCTGTACAGCGCAACGGTCGATACAATAAGAGGGATGGCGTTCTTAGTAATGGCGGCCGTCATGTTTATGGCCGCTGTGATTAAGATGTAGGTAACCTGTTCATTAGTATATGACTGCTTGATGTGTGTGTTTGTTTTTCAATCATCTGAGCGGTGGGGTAGCCTAGTGGTTAAAGCGTTCACTCGTCGCGCCGAAGACCCCGGGTTCGATTCACCAAATGGGCACAATGTGTGAAGCCCATTTGTGGTGTCACCCTCCGTGATATTGCAGGAACATTGGAATATCAAAACTAAACTCACTCACTCTGACAAATTATAACTAAACATTGTTAACAGCTACATTAAAACACTCATGTTTTATACTTTTTTTTGTTTTCAGTGTGGTAATTGTATGGTCTCCGAAACAACCTGGCTATGTCCTGCTTATTAAACCACGTAAAGATGAAGCTATTCCTGGTACTGGATGTAGACAGGAAGACAGACCTGGAACAAAATTGCTGGGAGGACCACCTCAGAAAACATACTTAACTATGAAGAAACATCCTGTTGTTGTATGAAAGTATAAGGCGAGAATTAACCGGGTCTCACATTGTGCGGTGTACCAGTGGCTGGAGCATTCAACTGAAAGTGGTTGTACTTTATTTACCATTATGAATGTCAGAGTTGGGCATCATGTCGTGTGGTGTACCAGTGGATGGAACATTCAACTGAAAGTGGTTGTACTTTACCATTATGAATGTCAGAGCTGTGCATCATGTCGTGTGGTGTACCAATGGATGGAACATTCAACTGAAAGTGGTTGTACTTTACCACAAGGAAGAGTTTTATGAATGCCATAGTTGGGTATCATGCTGTGTGGTGTACCAGTGGGTGGAATATTCAACTGAAAGTGGTTGTACTTTACCATAAGGAAGAGAGTTTTAAGAAAGTCAGAGTTGTGTATCATGCTGTGTGGTGTACCAGTGGATGGAACATTCAACTGAAAGTGGTTGTACACATTCAACTGAAAGTGGTTGTATTTTACCATAAGGAAGAGAGTTTTACGAATGTCAGAGTTGGGTATCATGCTGTGTGGTGTACCAGTGGATGGAACATTCAACTGAAAGTGGTTGTACTTTACCATAAGGAAGAGAGTTTTATGGATGTCAACTTCTTTATTATGAGGAACACAAAGTTTCGGAGTATATGCTTTCTCCTTCTTCATCACCTGATGTAGGAGTAATCATGTACTCCGAAACGTATCAAAAATCCATACAACTCTCTTCCTCATATGTTTCACTTTTAAATGTCATTCACAGGCATACTTTACCATGTTATACCGCAAAGTGGTACAAAATCCCGAAATGCATGGTTCCTGTTGTATATTTTTCACAATCTGTGCCTTCATGTCGGTAATGGTTTGTCCTGTAATTGTTAAATCATTCAATTGTTAAATCATATCTGTAAACCATGGTCATCAAACAGTAATGGTAATTAACTTGCCATTATATACCTTCGTGCGATACTCGCGACTGGCCATCGATGCTTCGGTACGGTTCATGGCCGGGAAGGCTAAAATCGTGACGCTTCTCGGTTCATTGAGCGTAGCCTTCGCGGTACTTGCAATGCAATGTTATGGCTGAATGAACACGGCGCGCCTCACTCGGAGGCTCTGGCAAATTACAAAGAAAAGGGATTAACCGGGGACGCTCTTTAATTTGGGGCACATATAAAAATACAAAAAAAATTAACGGGGTTACTTACATATTTACTTACACATTTTCACGTCTATTCTTCATCACACATTTTCTTTAATTCGACATTAGATAGTTCATTTTGAGGAGTCTTTCCTAAAAGATAAATGTATACCTTACGAGTTTAAATCTTTATATATGTTTCTGCTTATGTATGCTGATGATCTTGAAATATTTTCTGAATCTGTTGAAAGGTTGCAAACACTGTTGAATTCGTTGTCAGGCTAGGAAGGCCCTTTTTCAATTTACAATAATATCAGGTCGCTCTCTCTCTCAACCTGGAATCTCTTATATCTGTCTTTGATTGTTATGTTGGCAGTATACTATCTTATGCGTCTGAGATATGGGGATATAATAAAGGCTTAAATATTGAAAGGTTGCATTTGGATTTTTTGTGAAAGGTTATTAGGAGTTAAGAAATCAACATGTAATTCCATGGTTTATGCTGAGTTAAGTCGCTATCCGCTCGTATTTAAAAGGCAATATAGTATGATTAAATATTGATGTAAGCTACTTGTGTCCGAAAATAGCATTTTACAGGGTTGTTATGAGTATTTGTATGAGGAGGTGGAGACCCGTGGTATCAAAAATTGGGCGTATCAAGTTAAAGGTATTTTGCAAAACATTGGATTAAGTGAAATATGGTTAAGGCAGGAATTACCACTAGATTATCTAATAGTTATAAAACAAAAAATGATCAGGCTATTCAGTTTATCCTTAGTGAGCTGTCCAACTCATCGAAATGTGCAATTTATAAAAATATTATTAACCAGTGTACGGATAACGGTAATAAACGAATCGAATACTATAACAATGTTTTGAAAAGAAATCTATCTACTCCCTACGGTTCATGCGCGTTAAGGCGACTTTTTTTTAGCGTGAATAAACATTGAGCGAATTTCGTTTTCGCCTTCCCGCGAATGCTGTCGCCTTTCCAATTAACATAAACAATGGGCGAGCGAATGCATGTTCAAGTCCCTTCCATGCATGAATAGGCTATGTCCACAACAAAACAACTAGTTCATTTAGATATTTTATTAAATGTAACATGACCAATTGTGCCTTTTTTCTGACAAACAATAACATATGAAACAGTCATTAAGCAAGTTTCAGAGCGTACGATGCCCTTTCAGCATACTCGATGACAGGGACGTGCCCGGTGTCAAGTTTGGTGTTCAAGTCATCCAGTTTTCGTTGAAGGTCTTGATACTTCTTCTGTTTAGGAGGGAGGCGTTGTCCAGCGGTGTATTGAACCAAATGCATTTTTTGTTGTCTTCCTTCGCCAGGAATTGAATCAGTTCGAAAATATTCGGGTGGGCTCCAATAACATCATTTGCTTTTCGCTTACTCATACGATACATATAATTTCCAACACAGAGATATCTGCCACCTCTACAAGTGGAAAGATATTTGTACTTGAGTTGTGCATTCGCCATGATGATAGTGATGGTAAACTTCGAAACAGACCCATTTATAAGAAAATTTAATTTTATAAGCTCACGATGACACCTACTTATAAAACTAAACGTGAAAAAAATTCACTTTTCACCAAAAACATTGATGATTTAAAATGTGTTTCGACTAGGTAAGTCGATATCCTTTCGTTAATCCCTTAAACAAACATTACTAAAACAACACCAAACATCAAGGACTACCGCCAGTCGCCTTCACGCGAATACCTGAAACTAAAAAGTCGCCTTAACGCGAATACCCCCTCCCGACATGGATTATGCTCCCCGGCAGCGTATCTTTAGCTTTGGTGGTACTCCCGTACTCCCTTGGAAATTAGCTCTTCCGGGAATTCCGAAATATACATTTTAGCCTTCCCGGTACATCTGAAACATAAATTTTAACCTTCCCGGCACAACACCTGCCGTACAACCAAATGACATAATCTCAAGTTCACAATAACCGTTATCTGTAAAGGCGATTATCTGCGATAGCTAGAATAAGTATATAATACGGATGACAGTCGCAAATCATTGGGTGGCTGCCTTGTAAATTCACTCAGGCATGTAACTTTACATTCTTCTAGTTCAACAAACCATTGCTATTCTATCATGTTAACTTTAATCCTATAGGACATCCCTTTACTATTTGTTACCCTTGGCACTACCTTCAGGTTTATGTGGAACGTTGCAAATTTACCAAACAGCCACCCAATGCTTTGTGACTGTCATTCGTATTATATACCTATTCTAGCGAAAGCAGATAATCGCGTTTACGTTTGTTATTGTGAACTTGAGATTATGTCATTCAGTATGACTGAAACATCGATGGCCAGTCGCGAGTATGCCACGTGCATGATTGGATCATGGGATATAAACATACAACACAGATAAACGTTTTACACCTTGGTTCTATTAGCTGAGAGATTCATGTCCCGGATTATGTCTGATGCTCGTTTGTAGTGTGACCCTTGACAGGTTTAAGACTGAGGAACGTGGTCAGGTAGTCTGTAATATTTCCAGTTTTAAATAACACATACCGTTATAAAATATTTGTAAAACTTTGTTAAGTTTTTCCGTGTTAATACTTGTGAATAATGAGCGTACCCGGATACTTGAATTGCTATGAACCACAACACAAGTGCCTCCCTCCCCAAAAGATCAACAAGATGATCGCAACTCCATAACACTAACGAGGGTTATCTCCCAATTGACAGACACCCATTTGACAGACACCCAATTGACAGACACTGAACTAGAAGGTTAATTAGGGTAACACCTATGGGTATAATGGAACAGTCCAGTGTCCAGTGACTAGAGCAGGGTGAGCCTGAAACAGGGTCCTTACTGAGAAGTTTGATTGTGGGTAAATAGAACTTTGTGGTGATTAAATTATAAATGATTTCTCTTCTCAAAATTAATTTTACTATCAATTACTATCGAATATAAAAACAGGTTTGTCACTGAGAGGTTTGATTGTGTTTATTGATAGAAAAGACCCCTCCCAATAACAGCACATGTACAACAGAAGTTAACTCAGAAAACGTTTTGTTGAAGAGATATAGATATGTACATATTTGAAAACATTCTGATTTGCAGTAAATGAGACACCTGCATTGCCATGTAAGATACGATTAATACCAATCAGTGTCCTGATTTAAACAATACTTTCTAAAGATTGTAACAGTTTATGTTTTTGAGTAGTATACAATGGACATTCAAGGAAGTAATGAAAAGCGTTCTCACATCCATGGACACATTCACATGATGCGTCATATCTTAAATATTTATTCTAAATAAATCGTAATTAAGTGCACTCGTCATATATCTTAACATTATGTGCAAAACATATAACTTCTTTATTCCATATGAATAATATTTAGTTTCGCACTTGTCGTTATTTGATTTATATGATACAACAGTGTCGCAATTTCTAATAGCTAAGCTAATGTTTTCAATATATGTGATGATGCCGACTCCCGTTAGACTAGAAGGTTAAACCGAAATGTTTATGAAAATAGACTGTTTTTATATTGCAGCAATAAAAATTCAAATTACTGTCTTTACATCCATCTTTCAAAATAAATAATATAGCTTCAGTTTGTTCCTGTGTTTTTATTTGGACTATTCCATTATAATGTGTAGGTAACAGGTAGTAGATAATCTGTTCACTGAACCGTAAATGTTGTTGTTTTAAGGTGTCTGCGATCTGGCTGTCTGCGTAATGGGAGGACACCCTAACGAGAGTTGTGGCAAGCCCTGTCGAACATGTACAGTGTTCAAGAACCACCTTTACATAAGCCATCATCGTTTTCTACAAACCCTGTTCCACATGTGCTCGGTTTTATAAGCATTTCAGTAAATTTGGGCAAAAGTAAATTAAAAACTAAATGCTTATTTTTAGATGGATTCTTCGTACAAAAATATTGATTAAATGCATCGGATGCATTTCCCGCTGTAACAATGTATTACTGAACAGACAGACCCACATTCACAGCGTGCATTTGTTCATATAAATGCTTCATTGTTCTGACCGTCACTACCAGGCTGGTGATATAAAGGCAGCAGCAGGTCACTAGAGAGCATGTCAATTTATAATTGTGCTGTGATAATGTATCGCATGGTTACTGTGACATTTACGATCTCACTTCCCCTTGTTTTTTTGTACCAGCTTCCCTTTCATATGCATCGTATTTATCCAGTAGCATGACACGAATTATCTCCCCTTCTCCGAGGGTTAACATTGAATATTCAGCATTCAATTTATTTCTTTGAGAGACAATTTACAAGTTGTAAAGATGAAGGAAAACCAAGTTCTATGGATGGTCAACTTCTTTATTTGCAATGAATGCGACGTTTCGGTGTAGATACTAACACCGTTATCAAGCAAGTGATTTTTTCATTCCACTTATTGTTCTCACAGACATGAATGTGTTTTTACCTAATGTGTGTATACTGCTGATACCTTATGACATCACATGTGCAGTTATAAATGTATAACGTTATAACATAAACCTTACAATGATAATCTTATTTATACGGATGTCGCTTTTTCAGCTTGGAGAGTCGGTGGGGTAGCCTAGTGGTTAAGGCGTTCACTCACTCACTCAATTCATTTGGCCGGTAAGACCATTTCTTCTTTTTCATATTTAGGTCTATGACTAAATATTCAGAGAGACAAATATCTCTCCTCAAGAATGTGCAACACGAAGGATGACTTCAAATTTGACTTCTGGAATATTACTAAAAGCGGCGTAAAACCAAACTCACTCACTCACCCACTCACTCTAGTTTATTGTGAGGGCATGGATACATCGAATCGTCACTGGTATCCACACCATGTTGAATGCTCATCCCATTCAAACCACATACTGGTTCTCGGATATTACCAATAACTTAACAATGCATCTATTTTTTTACTATGGTTTTTGTCGACAATGCAATATACATTCCTGTTCTAGATTGTTGTTTTTGTGTGTTTTTTTTCAAAGTCTCATAACTCATATATTGGCAAATATATAAATTTACAGCTATGAAATATTTGGTGGTGGTGTGTGGTCCTGTGCATAGCGCTCAGGTCACAAATCAGTTGACGTTAAGCAACGTTGGGCACGGAGAGCCTATGGATGGGTGACCGTGTATGGCAGCTTCACTCATGAGAGTTTCTAGGACTCCAGGCCTGCCCCACAACGAAGCACGTGTGATACATGAGCTTATTAAAAATTGCCTATTCACCCAGCAGAAAATGGGCACCCGGTGGGATAATTCATGTCACTATTATAAAGGTAATGCTATTTTTGAGGGCATTTTCATTTGCAGAAGCCCGAGGTCTTCTGCAAATGATAATGCCCTCAAAAATAGCATTACCGTTATTATTGCTAAAATACATGGAATTTGTATTGAAAAGAAAAAGGAAACAATGAAGGAATTTGACTGTAAGTTTACTCAAAACCAACTTCTGACGGGGTTGACTGCCCGAATGCAATAATTACGTCATCGAACAATTCAAGTGACGTCACAACAGAAAGTGACGATATTCGACCTTGGCCTTTGACAAGACCATAGCCTGCAACATGCCAAACCATGTCAGTGTTCGGTTTTGGTCCAACAACAACGTTAATAGTGCAATTGTTAAGGTTATAACCAGCAAGAAAGCCAATATTACCGCTATTTAAAGCGGAAATTCGGGTTGCTTTGACTTGTTTGCTCCAGAATATCTGCCAGTCCAAAGCCAATGTCGAATGAACCGACGCACCCACTATGATGTCACTTGACAACAGAACTGATAGTGGCCCGTCGTTAACGTTGAGCGGTCTAATATCATTTGCAGCGGCCCGCAAATTTCTGATAATAGGAGGGCCGTTTCATGATAATTCCATGTGTTTTAGCTATAATAACCTTCTAGCGCCTCACAGGCAGCTTGGGTTATCCTGGGTAATAATGTGCTGCGCTTTGATTGTTAGCGCTATGAGCATTCACCTAGTGAATGGAGTTTAGCTTATTGTGAATTACAATGCACTTATTATTATTATTGTACATTATTATATCAGTACATTGTCTGACGTTTATTTGCTTACATTAGTTAATACTTCATTACCAACACATAACATCTGAAGGGCGTGTCTGAAGCTATACTCTCTGACTAATATCGAGTGACGAAACTGCAATAGGCGTTCATCCATGCCATCACATATGTACCGCTATAGCTTGGGTCACAACCATCTGACACTTCCCTGTAATCATGCAACAGATGATGCATTGTCACACTCCATCTCATGAAGCACATTAAAAATTCAGTAGGTTAAATTAACCACCAACTACCAATGGGAATCACAAATGACTCTGCATGATGTAATAAAAAACATTGGCACAATTTGTGGCAGATTCACAGAGGCAGCTCGAGCATAAACACGGTTCAGTTAGAATGAAATGAAGTTATTAATGAGGTAAACTAACAACCCGGTAAGGATGGACAGCGTACAAGAAGAGCCTAATGTAAAGTCACAGGAAACCGCTAGTAATGTTCAAGACAAACCCAAGTCTTACATCAAGGAGAGGGTCATATCAAGCGTGGTTCTGATGCTATTCACGTGTGCCAATAACTCCTCCGGTCCCGTGTTCACCCAATACATCCACTCTCGCTATGAGGACGTCTACAGTAACGGCACGGAATCTTCGTCAAATAAGCAATCATCATGTCTTGCCAATAACAGCGAGGAAGCTGATGAGGTGCAGGTGCATGTTCAGCAGTCCACATCTTACGAGATCCTGAAGCTATGCCTGTGTTTTCAGATTCCCTCGGTCATCGTGAACATGGTCGTGGGGTCCTACTCGGACCACATCGGCAGGAAGCTATTGTTTGTTTTACCGATGCTAGGATGTACTTGTAAATATGTAGGTTTCATACTGGTTGTCAAGTTCCATCTTAATCTTAACTTCCTCATCATCGGGACTCTCCTGGAGGGATTTTCCGGTTCAACAAGCACCTTCGTTCTTGCCAACATGGCCTATGCAGCCGACGTGACGAAGACCCACGCTACCAGGACATTCGCGATAATACTTACAGATAGCTCGGTGTCTATCGCCTTTGCATTAGGACAGCTTATGACAGGATTCCTTATTGAGAAGCTTGGCTACTTCTACCCATCAGTCATTTATACAGCTTTAATCCTGCTTGCCACAACCATCGTCATATTTGGCCTTACGGAAACTGTAAAGAAAACGGAGGTGAAGGAACTTTCGCCTATTGTTCATTTTAAGAAAGTGTTTGGATATTACGTCAACAAAAGGCGAGACAATAAGCGTTCCGTTTTTATTGCTTGTGTGATTGTCTTTGCTCTGCTGTACATTGGACTGAATGGTAAAGCTACGATTGAGATATTGTATCAGCTTGGTCGACCCTTTTGTTGGAATCCACTAAAGATAGGTTACTACGGTGCCTATTCCATAGTATTCATGGCCATATGCGGACTCGTTGCTATCAAGCTTGGGTCAGCGTGCGTGAGAGTGGAGATTCTGTCTGTAACAGGGATGTTCCTACTGATGGGGTCTCTCATTCTGGAAGGCCTGGCCAGCACAGACGCCATGCTGTATTCGGGTAATATGAACATTCATGTCTCTATGTAAATAATAATGCCATTCTAGATAATGCACGAACGCACTTCTATAGCCCCCATCCCACACCCGTTCAATGGCCCAAGAGAGAGTACTTAATGAATACTCATTTTGCATAAATTCGCAGGGTTCGATTTACCCTTATAAAGCATACATTGGTGAAACTTGGCATTAAAAAAAATGTATATATATTTCATATACTATAAATACATTTCTACAAGCAGCCAGGTCATGTTAAAATGTACATTTGTAGCCAGTACTAAGCAAGTAACAGAACATCTATAAGCCCTCCTTCATATTCATCGCAGTACGTCACTAGTCTCAGTATAGTGTGTGATACGTCATTGTTCCTTGACCTGGCGTCGTCATTTGGCCTTCATGATTATGTGCACTCGTTACCTATCGGGCAAAGAAAGTTATCGCTTTTATAGTAATTGTATAAAAAACCAAAACGCTGGTAAAGGTTTGAACTCACGCAGAACACATTCGCCAAATCACAACATGGTTCCTGATAACAACGCAGCTGTCCATTTTTCCCAACGTGAAAAACGTATACGTAGTTATGGGAGATTACACATGCATGATTGAGGCATAAATACTGATGTTGGACAGAGCAAACAGGCAGTAACAAAAAAAAAATACGAAAAAAAGCAAAAACACATCGAGCATGCCAAAACTTACGCAAGCGCGAGACAGGGCTGTCGGTATGGCCAATATGGGGGTTTTACTGCATTAGCTGGCAAGACCCTTCAGCTGGCCACCATCAGCAAATTGATAAACCTCTACCATCAAAGAGGCCAGACCCAACACTGCCCATGATAGGGAAGACCAAGAATCACGACACACCGGCCGAAGACCACTACATCCGGCAGATCCGCCTATGGAACAGATTCGTGACTGCGACGGCGACAACGACGGCGATGGCGATTGCCGAGCGATGCAGGGATGAAGTGTTCAGACCTTTTGTGGTGCCCTTTATTATACAACAGCCAAGAGGAGTCTTTTTGCAGCAGGACAAAGCAAGGCCTCACACCGCCAGAATTGCTCGAGTAAACCTTCACAATATTAACGTCAACGCATTGACTTGACCAGTGCTTTCTCCAGACATGAACCCCATTGAACATATCTTGGGTCATCTTGATCGTCAGCTGAGAGAGCGTGTACCACCTCCAGCGATCCGACAGGAACCTTAACAGCCTCTCTTGAACAGGATTCCTGCTGCCGTCACACATCGACTGACGACGTCAATGAGATGTGTTTGCTTGTATGGATGCCCAGGGTTGTCACACTCGCTATTGATGACGTGTCCCCTGGCTACTGTTCCATTATGTGACTCTTTGTGCATTTTATGAATGGAATCTGACTTCGTGTAATTCTTCTTTTTGAAAAGTTGATTTGCACGACCTTTGTCGCCCTCTTACCTGTTTGAGAGATCATTGATTGATGCTTGTACTACCTTGTTTCCTTCAGTGCCTTTAGTGGCGTCCATAAGCACAGTGTCGGTACCTGTGGCCCGCTCCGTCTTGTCCAGCATGGTGGCTGCTCATGAACAAGGTATGACCTTTAGTTCTAGGATGTCGAAGGATACATGTACATAATTGTGACTATAAAACCGACAAAAAGTAAGAGAACTGATAGCATAATAGTGAAGGTGTTATGAGCCTTCTCATAATATCTGTAAAATTAGATCAATATCTGCTGTGTCCACCATGACTTCTTGGTGTCATACTGCTGATTACCCTTGGTATTGCCACCCATTTTCACCTGTTCATGATGTTGATCACTGGATTGTCTGGTCTAGACTCGAATAATTACAGACAGCTGTCATTTAACTGGAATATTGCAGAGTGCTGCAACAACCTTTAACAAACAAACAACCATCCAACCATCCTCTTCACCTGTATATGTCGACATTTTGGCTGATTGTTGAGATCCTCTCTCGAAAGGTATTTTTAAGTGTGCGCTCGGCCCTTGCACTAGTGATTGTGAGTTCCACAATAGATGCTGATGCTGTTACTGTTGATGACTGTGCTAACACATATTTCTCATGCACTAGGTGCTATCTTCTCTAGCATGGCTACCGTCGAAACCCTGTGTGGAGCTATAGGGAGTTCGGCCTTCGCCTCTCTGTACAGAGCCACAGTGGGTACCATGAGAGGGATGGCGTTCCTTGGTATCGCGGCCGTCGTGTTCATAGCCGCCATAATAAAAATGTACGTAACCCACAACCGTGACATTGTTAATGAAACATGAATCAAATATCCAGTTAGAAAATATAATATAACTCCGTGCTCAATCGATACTGGTTTTATTTTTTTTATTTTTTTCAAAACGTATGGCTCTTATCTGAGGTACTACTCACAGGACTTTTATTTTGCCAGGATCTGCAATAAGTCTGTTCGAATTTCAGGTTGTCTTCAAATGCTTCGAATACCGCTTTTACACTCTATGAGTAAACACGAGTAATTATCTAAGCTGATTTGGACGTTACTGTAACACTTATACTACATCTTCTTTTCCAGCGTGGTAATTGTGAAGTCCCCCAGGCAACCGGGCTATGATCTGTTTCCGTCGCCCCCAGAAGATCAGAACGCGCAAACTCCTGACCACAACCAATATGGAACACTCCCGAAATGAGAAAACAATACGCCATGCTAAAGCATGGACAAAGGCCCTGTGATTATTTGATATTGGTTTCTTTTCACCTTGCCATGGTATGTGATATTATCTGAACTGCTGTATTGACTGTAGCATGGCGTAAACACCTAAACAATCAGTTGTGCACTTGCTGTGCATATGTTTATTGTTAACTGATGTATCAAATTGCATTTATATTGATCGGCGTGTCTGTCAGAACTAATGATGGTAACTAGTGATGGTAACTTTCACGACAAATATCAGAGTTGTTGTCCGATACAAATTAGCCCAAGTGTGTTGTGAATTTCTTTTATTTCCCAAACATTTTTCGCTACTTATAAACACTGGAGTCTCTGTACATCTACACAACAGTCGTAATTGAAAATTATCTGAAATATTTTCCGGTCTGTCACATGATTGTCGGGTTCGTTAACAGCCCGCGGTAGCATGGTAGGAGAAGGACTGTGCGGCGTCAGGTACAAACATACTTCTAATTTTAGGCAAACACATGTCGGCGAGGACATGCTTACCTTTTCGTGAACACCTGGTGTCATCACTGATTTTCAGTAATCCATCCATGTAATTTTCACTACTAATTTTCCCTCTACCGGAAACGGAATTTGTGTCTAAAATTAGCTAAGACTGGGTATTCCTTTGCACCGGCGTTCTATATTGAATATGTACATGACATTTGGTTTGTAAATTAAGATATCATATGTAATAGGTTAGTATGGGACCTGAACGTGGGTTTATGAAAGGTGCGAGGAAGGTTTGGGCATTACGTGCTGTGTGTGTTGAATACCACAGCGTTTTTGGTTTGAAATAAACGAAGACACCGTTATACACATAATACAAACTACAATGTGTCGTTGTATTGTTTCATTATTACCTTCACTCATAGAACCAATACACAATATACACATGATTCAGTGTAAAATACTGCCCCTCGCGCCAGTATCACATTGGTATAACAGAGTATATTATCTTCCATGACCAAGGACAAAAGTACTTGGGACAGAGTTTAGTTTGTTATTGTTATTTGTTTTTAAGTTTAATGTTGTTTAACGCCGCACAGAACCGCCAGGATCAGGGTTTGAATTGATCTTCAGCAACCCATGCTTGTCGTAAGAGGCGACTAACGGGATCGGGTGGTCAGTCTCGCTGACTTGGTGGACACATGTCTTCGTATCCCATTTGCATAGATCGATGCTCATGCTGTTGATCACTGGATTATCTGGTCCAGGCTCGATTATTTACAGACCGCCGCTGTAGCTGGAAAATTGCTGAGTGAGTCGTTAAACAACAACCAACCAACCAAAATGTGGCTCGTGGTGTAAACCTACCATCGGACGCATAAGAATATGAGACTCTCCCAGAGGCACTGCTGCGACAAAACAATTAAGTGCAATTTAAAAAAATTCAATAAATTGAATATTTGTGGAAAACAGCTGTTATACTGTGCTGTACGGTGCTGTGCTGTGTCCGTGACTGTCATTGGCAAATAAACAATGTGCAGCTTTTTGTTTCATAGTAAATATAAGGGATGTAATTTCCCGCTCAGAAATCCTCGTGCAAACTGGGTTTTTTCGTGGCGAGGTAAAGTGATTCAGTCCACCTTTCAGAAATGTATCCCCCTCCATGTTTTTTTCAAGATCAATCAGATCTCCACATTCCGACATGGCCATAAAATACAGGCAAATATACATGTCAGGTTAGTTGAATTAATCTTGGAGATAGATTCATTAAATACTAGAGCTGCATAGTTTCATTTCTGTCCATTGAGATTCATTAGTGAGTGAGTATTGTTTAACGCCCCTTTTAGCAATATTCCAGCAATATCAAGGTGGGGGACACCAGAAAAGGTGATTCACATATTGTGCCCATGTATGGAATCGAACCCGTGCTTCAGCGTGACGAGCGGACGATTTAACCATTAGGCTAACCCACCGCCCCTAAGATTCACTAACACAGTATTTAAATCTTTTACTATGCAATAAGTAGAGATACATTTTCATCTGCGTCATTTACATGTTCTTTGTTTATCCTTTGGACATCGTTTCATAAATATTCACCACGTGTATCTATCTAGCATAACAACCATGTGTGTGGACTTAACCAACTGTGAAAACGTTCCTATCAGCTCACTAGTATTAACAGTTCACTGACAACTCACGGTTCAACAACCTGTTATAATGACTAGTCGTTTATGTAGCTGCATCATATGTATGGTGATCCATATGGAAATGCATGTGCGCTTAACGTATTGTGTGCAGATGTCAAATATTAATAGGATGAATAGCTTTTATGATTATATTCTTCCTACCAACATCTGGCATCTGGCCAAGGGACTCTGTTTGCATTGCGTTCCGTGCTTTTCAGGCATGGTATACCGTGTAATGGTTGGTTGGTTGGTGTTTTGGCATCGCATTCAGCAATATTTCAGCTATATGGCGGCGGTCTGTAAATAGTCGAGTCTGGACCAGACAATCCAGTAATCAACAGCATGAACATCGATCTATGCAATTGGGATTCGATGACATGTGCCAACCAATTCAGCGAACCTGACCTCCTGTTAATTGACTCTTACGACAAACATGGGTTGCTGAAGTCCAATTCTAACCTCGGATCTTCACGGGTCTTATACCGTATAATGTGACACTTGTATTGGCTATGCTTTGAGAGTAAAGGTCATTAGGTAGGAATCGTCACAATCAGGCCATTAAGGAGGAATGGCCACAAGCAGGCCTTTAGGTAGGAATTCTTTTAAGCAGGCCCTTATGGAGGAATAGTCACAAACGGGTGTTTCGGGAGGAACGGTAACAAGCAGGTCTTTAGGTGGGAATGGTTACAAGCAGGCCTTTTGGTAGGAATGCTCACATGCAGGTCTTTAGGGGGGAATAGTCACAAGCAGGCCCTCAGGGTGGAATGGCCACAGCAGGCCGTAAGGGAGGAATAGTCACAAGCAGGCCCTTAAATATGAAAGGTCACCAACAGGCGTTTAGGGAACTATGGTCGCAAACAGGCTTTTCGGGAGGAATGGTCACTAACAGGTCTTCAGGGTGGAATGATCACAAGCAACCCTTAAGGCAGGAATGGTCACAAGCAACCCTTCAGGGAGAAATGGCCACAAGCATTCCTGTAGGGATTAATGCTCACATGCAGGTCTTTAGGAAGGAATGGTCACAAGTAACCCTTAAGGGAGGAATGGTCACAAGCAGATCTTTAGGGAGGAATAGTCACAGGCAGATCTTTAGGTAGGATTGGTCACAAGCAGGCCCTCAGGTAGGAATGGTCACAAGCAGGTCTTTAGGAAGGAATGGTCACAAGCAACCCTTTAGGAAGGAATGGTTACAAGCAGGCCCTTAGGAAGGAATGGTCACAAGCAGGCCCTTAGGAAGGACTGGTCACAAGCAGGTCTTTGGGAAGGAATGGTCACAAGCAGGTCTTTAGGAAGGAATCATCACAGGCAGGCCCTTAGGAAGGAATGGTCACAAGCAGGCCCTTAGGAAGGAATGGTCACAAGCAGGTCTTTAGGAAGGAATCATCACAAGCAGGCCCTTAGGAAGGAATGGTCACAAGCAGGTCTTTAGGAAGGAATCATCACAAGCAGGCCCTTAGGAAGGAATGGTCACGAGCAGGCCCTTAGGAAGGAATGGTCACAAGCAGGCCATTAGGAAGGAATGGTCACAAGCAGGCCATTAGGAAGGAATGGTTACAAGCAGGCCCTTAGGAAGGAATGGTCCCAAGCAACCCTTTAGGAAGGAATGGTCACAAGCAGGTCTTTAGGAAGGAATGGTCACAAGCAACCCTTTAGGAAGGAATGGTCACAAGCAGGCCCTTAGGAAGGAATGGTCACAAGCAGGCCCTTAGGAAGGACTGGTCACAAGCAGGTCTTTGGGAAGGAATGGTCACAAGCAGGTCTTTAGGAAGGAATCATCACAGGCAGGCCCTTAGGAAGGAATGGTCACAAGCAGGCCCTTAGGAAGGAATGGTCACAAGCAGGTCTTTAGGAAGGAATCATCACAAGCAGGCCCTTAGGAAGGAATGGTCACAAGCAGGTCTTTAGGAAGGAATCATCACAAGCAGGCCCTTAGGAAGGAATGGTCACGAGCAGGCCCTTAGGAAGGAATGGTCACAAGCAGGCCATTAGGAAGGAATGGTCACAAGCAGGCCCTTAGGAAGGAATGGTTACAAGCAGGCCCTTAGGAAGGAATGGTCCCAAGCAACCCTTTAGGAAGGAATGGTCACAAGCAGGCCCTTAGGAAGGAATGGTCACAAGCAAGTCCCTTAGGAAGGAATGGCCACAAGCAGGTCTTTGGGAAGGAATGGTCACAAGCAGGTCCTTAGGAAGGAATGGTCACAAGCAGGTCTTTAGGAAGGAATGGTCACAAGCAGGCCCTTAGGAAGGAATGGTCACAGACAGGTATTAGGGAGAAACGGTCACAAGCAGGCCTTTAGAAAGGAATGGTCACAAGCAACCCTTTGGGAAGGAATGGTCACAAGCAGGCCCTTAGGAAGGAATGGTCACAAGCAACCCTTAAGGGAGGTATGGTCACAAGCAGGCCTTTAGGGATTAATGGTTACAAGCAGGCCTTTAGAAAGGAATGGTCACAAGCAGGCCTTTAGGGAGGTATGGTCACAAGCAGGCCTTTAGGAAATTATGGTCACATGCAGGCCTTTAGGGATTAATGGTCACATGCAGGCCTTTATCAATAGTGAGTGATCATCGGAACTTAAAGGGTACTGAATACCTTGACAGTGCTTTATTACAACTGAAATCTCGTTATATAGCGAGACTGATATCATCCTGTGTGGTGACTTTAATGCCAGAACTGGACTTCTATCCGACTATGTGTTTCCAGATAATACAGACTAAATTCAAGCGTTAAATGACATCCGTGACATTGTTCATACCTTTGACATTCCACGTTCTTCAAGAGACTTAGATGTAAACAACTTTGGGAAAGAATGAATACATTTGTGTTGTAATTATGGAATTCATATTGTGAATGGCAGATCTAAAAATGATTCATTTGGTTCATTTACATGTTTTGTAAACAAAGGAGCTAGTATAGAAGACTATGTTTTGTGTACTACTGAATTGTTTAGTTCAATTAATGACTTTAGAGTGTGTACTAGAACTGAATCAGATCATTTTCCCCTCAAATGTGATCTCAGTGTTTTTGTGGAAAACATGATTCAGGGATTAACTGTAACATTAGCAATATTACCAAGTTTAAGTGGAAGCCTGAGGGGTCAGAAAGGTTCAGAAAATTCTGAAAGCAGCATTGGACCAAGTGTCACATGTGGAATTTCAAGACACATGTGAAGACTGCTCATCACAAGGTACACAAGTGTTAGTTGGTGCTTTACAACAAACTGCACTGCAGTGTCATATGAACTCTAAGTCAACTAAAACGCAACAAAACCATAACCGTCCCTGGACTGTGAACTGTTAAAACAAGTAAAGTATGAACTT